TACCAGGGTAATTGAGCTGCCATGGCCATCTTCACAGTGTATTCCTTATGCCAGATAAACACATTTTTAGTTAAGCTTTACTAAAACAGGGGGGAAAAAAAGCCTTTCATTTGATTTTGTTTACATTGAACAGAAGTAATATAACACAGTGGGAAACCAGCCCACAGCCCATTTAGCTATAGCAGGTAAGACAAAATATAGAACTTAACATCTGCCCCTTTGTCAATGACAAAATTTTGACTGACTCTGATAGCACAGGGTCAGTGCCGGGGATGGAAGCACAACTTTCACACCCCAAAACATTTGCATAAAGAAGAGAGAGTCTCACAGCATCAGGAAGATCAAATAAATAAAATGAGCATATCTCAGCCTGAAAGTAAAAAGCATATCCAAGCATTTAATTCCTACTTCCCTCAAAAGAAAACCCACAATCCACCCACAAACCAACTTCCATTTCCCCAAAACACAAACTAACGCTGAGATCAATTCCCTAACACTTTAATAATACACAAGCACACACAGGGTTTAGGACAGTGATGAAAAATGTGTCATGCTTTTCAAGGTTAGTCCCCTTCCACTTTAAAAATATTTATGTTTTCTGGCCTTTGTCCTCACTATGGTCTCCTAGAGAGAAAATGTCCTTCAGAGGCACGCTGACAGAGATCATTGCACACCCAGGCCCAAAGAGACATTGTGGATTTCAGCTGCCAGCATTGGCGGGACAGGCTCTGTTAGCCAGGCAGCAGCTGCAGGACACACTGGGCTCCCAATGCTGGGGAAGCCCTCACATCAGGCATTTCAGCCCCTGCAACACAGTTCAGGGGGAGCAGCTGATCCCACTGAGTACCTGACCCTCTCCACCAGGTGCTGTCTGAGTTGAAAGATAACTGCTCTCTTTTGGACAGTGCTCTTACACAGCAGGTTATTTGCTGTCCCAGCATCCTGACAGGTTTACAAAGTACAAATAAGATGGCTAAGTAGTAGCACAAGGGAACATGAGCTGAAAAAAACTCAAATCACCAAAACCCCAACCACAACACCAGCTCTCTCACCCTCCCTAACACACAAAGAATTTCTACAGTTTGGCTAAATAGGAACAAAATTCCATACAGTGCATACTGGTAGACACAGACTCTTAAATAGAGTAGCAGATTTTTCTCTTAAATAAGAGAAAACAAGTATTCAGGGTAAGGATGACCAACTGTAAATGAAGGGGAACAAACCTAGATTGACAGAAATTACAAAAAAAATAAATAATATAACCCCATAGCTCCAGACAGTATCATCAGATAGATGCTGCCCAGCCACCAGCACTCTGCTATGACTTTTCAAGTGTTATTACAATTACAGGACTTTAAGGGATATTTGCAGGAGGCAACCCTGCTCTTGCAGCAACCTGAGCTCTGTCCCTTGCACTGTCTCTAAAGGTTTTGCTTTCAGCTACCCATCTGCAGCATGAGGATTTGGGATCAATAACTCAGCAGTACCTCCTCCTGCTTCCATGGTCACTGCTGCTCCTACACCAAGGTAGCATCAGCATGCACATATTTTGTAGTGGAGTCTTCCTGTCTCTGATTTCCACAGGCCATGAGTATGTGCACCTTGTCTGCAAACACTGATCTCCAGAACACTGTTTCTCAGAAGGACTATGCCAACTTGTATCTATCCTTTGAAGAGACAGTGGTTTTAGTTTGGTGGGGAGATGAGATTGCACTTCAGAAGGTGCTTTGTTTTTGAAAAAAACCAATATATTGATAATTAACAAAAAAAGTAAAGCCAAAATTTCAATATCATGACAAATTTATCAAAAAAAGAACAAAAGAGAATTGCTTAGTTACCCAAATAAAAGTAATGGACAGAAGCCCACACCATTTCTGCCTGAAGGACATAGACACACCTACCACCTGGTTTTAGGCAAAAGTCGTCATCTTCCTCCATTTCATCCAATGAATCTACACCTGACAACACTAGACAGTTTACAGTCGTAACACCTCACCCACTGAAATTCTAGTTTTGCATTATTCAGTTAGCCCTCCTACCCTCTCTCACAGCACTGCAATCATTCAAGGAGGGAAGTTTCACCAGTACCTGTGGAAAGCAGCAAAGGAAAGGTATCTAGGGCACTGTGGATATTCTATTCCCTATCAATATTAGTGGCAATACAGCCTAGACTTGCACTGCTAGCCTTGAACATCTCAGCAAATCAGAGTGATGAATTATTTAGGACAAACACTTTGAGCTTCAAACTGAGAACAGTGGAGGTGCCTATTTTCTGCAGTGGCTTCCTCAGAAAGTCTCCTCCTGCTCCCCTGCTAGGACATTGGAAGTGATACTAGGAACACTGCCTCAGTTAAAAAACATTGTCATTGTTTCACAAACCTTTACCAAACTTTAACCAATTAGGTAGTACTATTCCATGTCGGCTATTTTCTCCAGATTATTTGACAGTGCAACTGCTAAATTAAACTATTTCAAAGAACAAAACCAGTGCCAAGAGAGGGGAGGACATTTTGTACATGTCAAGATCTGATGATTTCCAAAGGTCAACCTGACCCACGCTTCCAAGTGACAAGCCTGACATCTGGTCATGAGGCTTGGAATCAAGGATGAACCTCCTCCCCACAGCTTTCACATTACAGCATGCCCCAGCTGAAATGGTATTTATGAGTGCCTTGTGAGAAGGAAAAGCAAGTGTCATGTGTGCCCCACAGGGTTGGCAGAAATCTGCAAGAAATTTGCCATCACAAACCCAGTCTCAGGTGGTACTGTTTCAGTTCTACACAAGAGTAAATCTGCTCTGCAAAGGTAGTGTGTCAAATGGGCATCTGACCACTGGCAGTAAAAACACAGAATCCCATTACTCTCAGTAATCTTGCTGCTGGGTCCACTGATGATACAGAAAGCCAGAGAGACAATCATTATTTTATATTCTAATTACCTGCGTGACAAAGGCCACTGCATTTCCCCAAATTCCCATTTGGTCTCAGGTCTACAAAATTAAATCTTTCTTAAACATTTTCGAGAGGTCAAGAATCCAAAGTAGCACTTTGTAAATCAGGTCAGTGAGTCTTAGAAGTGCACATCTTATTATTTTTCTTTTTTGCTAAAATCCATCTAACTAGAATCCAAGGATGCCAAGCAGGGTGTTTACACTTTAAGAAGATGTAATTTTTTGCTTCTCCTCATTATTCATGCACAGTCCCAAAGCAAATTTATAGCGAGCTTCTAAAAATAGCATTAATAATCTTAGGGGCTGCATTAAGACCCTAATTAAGATAGTATATGAATTTTTCCTGCTTGCACCTAAGATTATAGATTTAAGCTACACACTCACAAGACTCCTTAAGGAATTTGTTTTCTTAACACCAGTTTGGGAAAGATGGTCATCATTCTTGCTTCCATACAAGGTGTTGAGATATCAAGTCAGAAGTATTTCACTACCTTGGTGTGACTTGTTAAACCACATTTAGGACCCGGCTTCTCAGTGGACATCGTAGTTCACAGCGTAACTCCCCTGGACCTGGTTGCAGTTGAAAACATTCATCAGCTCTGAAAGTGCTCTCCAAGATGAGAAGTGAGGCACTGCGGAAAGGAGGAGTCTTCTCACAAGGCTTTTCTGAGGTGAGCTTTTTAGCTTTACACAAGACCTTCTCAGCACAAGCAAGAGTGGGAGTCGGTTTCCAACAAACAACGCAGCTGCTTCAGCACCAAGACCAGCCCTTCATCCAACGTTGTTGCTCCCTATCCACTGCTCAGCTGGCAACATCGGTAACAAAACTGGATAGATTTAATCAACCAATCACCTCTCTCTCCCACAGCCATGGTTCACATGCAGGGTAAATCCCTCCTGCACACTGCAGACACAGGCATCACAGCCAGCCTTGGAACTGCTTCTTCCACAGTCCTCTCGTCAGAAACACCAAGCACTGGCCTACAGATTGCCATTGTTGGAGCGGGAGGAATAGAGCCTGCTGCTACCAAATAGGCCTGCAATTTTCTGGGAGCCATGAGCTAAAGGAAGAGTTGATGAAAAAGAGTTCAAGCAAGAAATAAGAGGTGAAGATTCTAACCCCAAATTTGTACCATCAGTCCCGAACACAACTTTTGCTCCAACAGGTTAGCTTTGAGAAACCATGTAAAATGCACCATAGTTGAAAAGGATGTTACTAACAGCCTCTCTATCTCTGCCCATACAAGGCAGAAAAAGACACCTCCAACTTTTCAGTAAGAGTTAAACCCTGATTTAACTTGCAACTCAGGTTAAATACTCGTCCCCTCAGAAGTTACCATACATCAGTGAAATGAGTTTGTGTTGCTTTTTTCTGCATAAAGAGTTCAAAGACTCCTCACTGGCAATTGGAAACAATTGCCATTTAACAACTAGTATCCTAGAAAGCTGTAAATGAGTCCTGATTTAACTGAACTGAAAACTCATTATTACCGAAAGAAATCATACACTGTAACAATGACCAAAGCTTTCCTGGAAGAGCTCTCTCTCTGGATTTGTCATTACCATCTATATCCTAACACTCCTAAATAATTCAGTACAGCATTTAGCCCTGTGTCCTTGCCTCTCTACTCAGAAACCACTCTCACTCTTTACAGTATATTTCAGCAACAGGGAGGAAAAATCTCTCTGGATTGTGGTTCCTCCTTGTGCTGTGCAACTGAGGGGGGAATCTCAGTTACCCTTTCTCTCTCAGCATAGAAGCACAGGTTTTATTTATTTTATTTTTTTGGAAAAAGTGTTTATTAGACAACTAAATATAGAGCATTATTTATCCACACAGAGTCATGACCATGTGGGCTCAGATTCACATGCAAATTCCCCTTTTAATAATCCTAATGCAGGGAGTGCTCCAATCAGAGCGCTATCAGTCCCAGCTCCCAGATACCTGATGCCAGCTTTGCTGGTAATGTAGGCCACCGAAGCAAATCCAGAGAGATTGAGCTGGAAGTGGAGAGAGGCTCTGAGATCTATTTGCTTGGCTTCCTGACGACGAGGGGGTGTGTAACTTCTTTTTGTCTTTTCCACTATAAAGGGGATATCATTTAAGAGGGATCATTAGCTGAGAGCAGCCCGGCTGGGTCGAGGCTGGGAGGCGGGGACGCAGTTGCAAGCAGTGGAGCAAGGTGGAGGCACGAAGACAGAAGACCAGGCTAATGAAAGCATGAGGTGGCTCTTGGGCAGCAGCTTGAAAAAATTTGGACACGCTGACAGGGGAAACTATGACTGGCTAAACAGTGAACCTGGTGGGCCACTTCTGGAAACAGAGCTTCAGGTCTGTACCCTCCTGCTCATCTCTGTGACATGTCCTTTGACTTAGCATGTGTGTGTATGTCCATATAATGCCTCATGTATAGTGCAGAGTAAAAAGCTGGGAACTGGGATGTGTCAAAGCAGTACTGCTCAATTACACCGAGTCAGAGCATTTATTTATTGCTGTTAAGTTGTTTTAAACACATTTGTGGGAAAAGAAAAACATTAGATGGAAAAATTCTCTTGGAGTGGCAGGTAAGGAAGTTTAATTACTTCTTTTAAGCATAATGCATTTTGCTATTCCTTGATTTCCTTTCTCTTAAATGCATGCTTATGCTTTGGATCTGGTCCTGTGAAGCCTTTCTGCAGATGTTGCGAGTCGGTAGCAGGCAGCAATGAACTCTTGTTTCCTAAGCTGTGCGCTGATTACTTCTGTGAGAGAGGATCACATGCAGGCGAGTGGGGGGAGGGAAGTAGCCCCCAGAGATGAAAACACAGCCTGTCTTTCTGGCTTTGTCTGGCATACAGTGAGAGGGTTTCTCTGATCAAAAATAATAATTTAAGGTGCACGTACATCCCCAGTAAATGTCCAAGTCAAGCAGCATTAGCAAATGAACTGGCCAGACTAGTTAGCTGAGATATGAAGTGTACTGTTGCAAAATAAAAGGGGATAGGAGTGTGTGTGGGTGTCAAAACAGGAGAAAAAGTAGTCCTTAATAACTCTGCAATTTTAACAAAATCTATCTCATCAGTAAGATTGCCAGAGTGAGAGTAGCAATGGCAATGTCTTCACACCTCGAGACTGGTTTTATCTGACACTGGGAAACAAAGAGCATCACCAGAGTCACATTTCAACAAGTATTTGAAAATTCAGTGTAAATCTAGGCTCACTTTTAAATTATGTGTCGTTATTAATGTATACAAAAACACATAAAAATGTTTTTCTATTTGTCAGATTTATGTTTTTGCTTTTTATAAGCAATAATGAGTCAGCTTTAAAAAGCAGGATAGAGCTTGGAAAAGCACCTATGGGAGGACCACAGCCTAATGACTTCAGACTTTGTTCCAAATCCACTTAAACATTTCAGAAGTATTGGTTTCATGATTCAACTTGAAAAGATATAAGTATAAATATGGGCTATTTAAATAAAAGTAATTTTATTAGAGTTCTAAGTACTCTAGCAAATCATTAACAATATAATAAATCTTAGCATCAATCACTTCAGTGGGAATTTCAGTAAGCAAATAAACTTTTACTTTTCTATCCTTACACCAAAGTTTTCTTTAAACTCATGTTTGGCCTTATTAGGTCATTCTCTCCCAAGCCAGGTAGTATCCCTCTTTTGTCTAGACACATGGTTCAGCTCCAAACCCATTCCATTACTCATCATGGATATACCACACAACTCAGCTCCACTCTGCATTTTATTCCTTTATCAACAGGCACGAGTAAAAGCTCATCTTAGCTGATATGGGTCATGCAATCTGTAAGCTGGCAACTGTACATGCTCAGCATGTTAAAAAAACATAGGCAGACAGATTACTAATGAAAGGCTTTACTACTTTAGTCTGTGCTCAGTATTTGGGAAAACTGACTCTCTGCTTCAATTCCTACAAATATATAATGAAAGGAAGAGAATAAACATGAGCCTACAATGACCAAACTATTCTAAGAATCAGTCTGGGAAAATATAACTTTTTAGAAACATGATCGCTTTTACTCCGAAGCCCTTTTCTGCCTTTCTCTATTTTATAAAGGATATTTTCCCTATATTTATGTGTCTGTAACTTATTTCATGGTGGAAGTCAGATCCTTATTTTTGTCAATTACAAACCTGACAATTGCTGCTTGTGATGACACAAGCAGAGCACACTGATGTCCAGTGAAGCAGCATCCAACCAAACCAGTCAGGAAAACACTGCCTAATAATGCCCTCAGTCACTTCATATGCCTAGTTTGGAAACTTTCAGGGGTTAAACAGTAAAGGATTTTACTTCATATATGTTCTGCAGTTGGTTTACTTTCACTTCAACTAATGAAGATTCAGATTGAATTTTAGATCATTTTATTTTCCAGTTCTGGCAGCTATTCCTGTTATCTATACAGATAACAGGAATATACTTTTCTAGTTTTAGAGGCTAGTTTTATTTCAGTTTACAACTTTAGTAATAGTTTGGAATTTCTAAGTAATTATTTATTTTTTATTAAGTGACCTTTGACTCATTGTATTAAAATTATTTTTATTTTTGATGTAATTTTTTTTAATGCCCATAAGATTTTCCAAGCCTTTATGTCAAGATCTGTGCAACTTTCTTCACTAGCCCCTTAGTCAGTCATTGCTGAAATGGGTACAAAACCATGACAGAAAAACAGGGACTAATACTGATCAATTGTATCGCAATACATTTGATAATATATATGGATTTACCTACAAGAAGCTCATCAGCTTTTTGAACTACATCTCAAACTAAAAGCAGTCCATGTAAAATGCTTGGCAGGAGACAGTATCAAAATGGATATATAACTCCCTGTTCAGGTTCTCTGCATCTGTAGGGCAGCATTAATTTATTTAAAACTATTTCAATTTGAATAATACACTACGTAGCCTACAAATTATTTAACCCAGATAGGAAAGGCTTAACACTAGCTGTGTTTAAAAAACTGTGAACCCTTTGAAACACAGACTGAGGAAAACTGGTCCTTGCTGTCATCTGTCAGCATACAGAAAAAAAACATATTGCCCAATACTTAATCCTACCTGCCTCACATGCTACTATTTTGCAGATTGTAGTAAAACACACTTAATGTCCTTTCACAACTATACAGGACATGGTATTAGCTTCATTATAGCCATTCAGTGTGCTACTTTCCCCCCCCCCCTTCTCAGCATACAGCTCAGGGTCTTATTTACTGCATCTTCTTCAAAAAACCAAATTTATTATGTCTCCTTTTGCATACATTACACAAGTGCCTGGTTGCTATCTATTCAGTAGTTATTTTGAATAGATTAGGATAAAACAGGAGTAATTCAGTTGGAAGGGACCTGCAATGAAAATCTAGTCCAACCACCTGACCATTTCAGGGAGTACAAGAGGATATGAACTGTTTCATAATAACCTATGTAATTTTTGCCCAGATCCCTCAGTGCAACAAAGTATTGCTCTTTCACCTTCAGATGCAGCAATACAAATGTAGAATTTCTTTAGACCAGACTCAGGGATCTCAACCCAGGCACTTTAAGTGAGGTATAACCAACAAATAACCCACAACAAACACCTCTGCTGAACTGTCTTGCCCCTCCCCTAGACCATTCAGTAACAGAGGCAGGAATACAGCTCCCCAGGACAGCATTCACTATCCCACACTAGCAGGCAGTCCTCTCAATTCCCCCACTCTTCTGACTCAGTCACTACATACCCTACACATCCTGCAACACAGTACCCTGAGGTATTGTGGTCTTCTTCCCTAAGCAATCTATCACAAACCTGAGTAGGCACTTTGTACACAATAATGTAATTAAAAATTATATGCATTGCAGAACAAATTAAGGAATCATAGATTCCCAAAATGCTGGCATTTATTCAACCTTGAGAGTTTGATTTTGCAACTTTAGAAACAATGCTATAGGTTACTCTTGGAGGGCTTTTAGGCCAGTAACCCACTGACATCCCAAGCTGTCCTTTTGTACCTACTTCACAGACTGTGGTCATCTGAGCTAGCTTATACTACAAATAGTTTCACTTCTTCCATTTTTTTACCATTAGATGCAAACTTTCCCCTTCAACAATAAATAATATATTTTACACATTTCTCTTGATGGGTATACAAGGCCCAAGATCACTGGCTTCCAGTTAAGGCTTTGGAGCAATGTATTTCCCTGAGACCCAAGACTATTTGTTAATTCCTTCTATCAAGCTTAACCTTTTCCTTCCTTCTCCTGCCTCACAGTTTTTCACTAGCCCTTTCCTTTTTCCTTCTTATTTGAAAAGAATGGGACTGCTGCAGCGAGTGTTGTTCCTCAGATTTCTACTTTCAGTCCTATTCAGTCTTACTGCCCTCAGTCTTGGTTCCCTTTTGGCTTTCCTCCCCACAGTTTTATATCTTGTTCTCACAAGCCAAGGCTCTCCTTCCACACTGCTGCACGATTCTGATCTGTACCCTTCTCCACTCTGTCCATCCCTGATGAGTTCAGAGCTCCTCACTTCAGAAACATCAATTCTCATCCTGTGCTTCAAATCCACATCCAACCCACCAATCCTTCCCGTGTCTCCCTGCCATACAGTGGACTCTCTGAAATACAGTGTTGGTAAGAGGCTATGTCTTATAACAGGATGTATCAGGCAACCATAACAGTAGTCTGTGCTTCCACCAGCACATGAAGGATACACCGTCCTTGACCACTATTTAACAAACGAATATCCTTTCAGTGAAATTTATAGGGAAGCTGCACCAAGTTTAAAGGATAATCAGGGCTTTATATACCTTTTACTAATCTTATGTAGAAAAAGCTGGCAATGTCCCTCTCTCAAATCTCTGTCCTCACAAACCACCAGATTACTGCACAACTCATAGATCCTACGAACAGCACTTAACCTGGCTGAAAGCCTGCTCCCTACAAATTAAACCCCAAACTTAGACTTGGATCTCAAAAATATGCTCTTCACTGATTGTGAATAATGCTGTCCAATATAAGCTCAGCTCTTCGAAATATTTACTGTAAGAGTATCGGTAACACATCAGTATGGGTGAGTCTCCGAATAAGCAATGCACAAATACAATACTGAATGCTTCTTTTCATTTTCCCAGAAGTGTTTTATGCCCCTCGTAAGACCCACTAAAAAAGCATTAATGAACTTAAAAAAAAAATCCCCTCATTTTTAAAAGATTATTTAATGACTGGATTAGAAGAACAGCGGGAACAGTTTCTTCCAACTCTGCTCTTTCCTGAAGCCCATTTAATAGTCAGGTAAGACAACAGCTTGTACTGCCAGAAGCTCTTTAATAAAAAATGATCAGTAAATATAAAAGAGTTCTTTAGTATGCATTTTTGGGGGAAAAGACAGCTGGGGAAAAAAAAAAAGCTTAAATAGCTTACCCACAAAAGTTTCAATATATTTTTAAATTACTTTAATGGATTTGGCTTCAGACCCACAATACCTTAAGGGAAAAAAAGAGGCAGAAATCTCCCCTATGCTATTTTTTAGAAGTCAAAACCTATTTACTTTGTTTTTCTTAGGCAGAATTTCATAATAGGACAACAAAGCAGAAAGGTTACAAATACCTGGTAGATAATCAGTTGAATGGAGGGTTATAGTGTGATTTTGTAGCTGGAAGAATTACTATAATTCTTGGAAGAATAAGCACAGAAAGTTTTTGTAGACTAAGAAGGGAGCACTGGGGTTACTGGCCCTTTTCACAAAGCCATTGCTGCAAACAGCCAGTTTGCATCCCTGCTTCCAAATGCTTTGAGGAAAGAACCACTCAATTTCTCCTAGCTTGAATAGGCACCTTCATTCAAAATAAATGACATCTGATCTATTGACCTGTTGAGTCTCACCATACAAACATGAAAAAGCCATCTGAGAGCATTCTTCAGGAACTTACTAAGGGAATAAGTTGATAATAAATAGCATTATAGGGTTTGGGTTTTCTTACTTCTCTAGACTGGACTCTGAATGAGATCCACTTATTAGAAGTTAGAGCAAGATAAAGCCATACTGAAAAAAGCTACATTAAATTTTAAAACTAAAGCTAATACAACAGAAGAGCACAAATGGCTCTGTTGGTTTTGTTTGTTGGGTTTTTTTTTTTAGTAGCTAATGACTCCAGTTATCATTACAGAACAATTTAAAAGCTGTGAGACAGAGGCCTTTTGTGCTACACGTCAGAAAATAAAAGTTGACAGCTAACAGTCACAACTGTTATTACTCTTACACAAGAAGTTCTTTGTCCACAGTTTCAATCAGGGAAAAGTGATTCTTGGAAAGCCGGCAGAAAAAGCTCAAGAAAGAGCCCCAGTCCAGGCTGTACTAACACACCATGTCAGGGTCTGGCCTGTAAGATTAGAACAACCCAAAGAATAGGTATTGTAGGCAATGGGCCCTGTTTGAATGGACTAGTTGTCATAACATTTGTTCTTTAAACAGTTTTTCAAATACAAAGAAACAACACTAGATGGTGCTTCCCCTGGATCATCTGCAATTCACTGTTCTCACAAATTTTAAAAGCTTGACTAATCTCCCACAAAGTGGACTGGTCCCTCTATAATCCAAGAGCAATAAAATGACAGTGTCAAACAAAATTACATACACTTCCAGGTTGTTGGGTTTTTTCCCCATTTGGATACAGGGTTTCCTAGAAATGCAATAGTCTTTCCAACTTTTCTCTTTCTTTTGTCTCTAGTTGTGATTTGCTTTAATGAGCCAGCAAATAGAGTTTGGCAATTCAGGAGTCTGCAAAACATATCATTTGATTGACATTAATGCAGACAGAAAGAAATTTGGAAAAGCGACTGCTAGAGCATAAGGGGGGAGATGGACAGAAAACATTTTTGCTTTCTCATTAAGAGGTCTCCAGGAATCCAACACACTACCTATTTGCTTTGATTACAGAGCAGACAACAGACAAGTTCAACCAAAGACGACATAGAACCATTTCTGTGCATCATACTGCCTGCCACCATGATGCTCTTCCTGGCATTCCTGCTGCTCTTCCTGTACCGCCGTTGCCAGCGCCCCACTCAGCAGGGGCAGATCTTCAGCATCGACCTTCCTGAGGCCCTGCCTGAACATGATGTGTCCAATTTCCTTTCTGCACTGCCCTGGAACAGTGAACAGAGTTTCCACTACTCCACACTGGTCCCTGATGCCACATTCCTCTCTGTGTGTTTACCTCCATCGTATGAGGAGGCCACCATGAAGACTTCCATGGAAGAGGCTCACACTGAGCTCTCTCCAGACCCAGTGCCTCCTTATGAAGAGAGCACACTGCAGACCGGCAGCGCCAAATAAACTTTCTATGGAAGCACCTTAGCTGAAGCATGCAACCCCCTCAAGGCACAAGGGTAGAACTGCTATGGCCTTTAAAATCTGTGAAAAGATTCCAAATGAGGCACCAAACCAATGAATTTATGCAGGAAGAAACTTGAAGTAACAGGGAATGAGTCTCTTCACCTCATCCTAGGACTCTCTACCTTCCATTTGTGGCAAGTGTACACATGGCATAGCACCAAATCTGACCCAGACTGGCAGCATGGGTATTCCAGTTAACAAACATGTCATGAAAGGATTAAACTTAAGGAAAGTTGAGAAGCTGTTCCTCTGCCATCCATCACCTACAAAGAAATTTCAATAACGTTATAGATTCACTTGTCACAAAAAGGGCTTTTAGCACATGCCTATTTCAGTTTGGAGTTTTTTTCTATGTGTTTATTTTTAATCGAGTCTTTGACAAGCTTAGTCACTCCATCTGTGTGTGTTAACATCACATCATTCTGCAGTGCTCTGGAATGATCACAAGTCTCAGGAAAGCAAATAAATATATAATATATACAAAATTTCCAGCAACTGTCTGCAAAGGTTCTAATGTGCACTGTGGATACAGGCTGTCTTTTCTCACCGTTGAACAATGAGAACAATCAGAGAAGATCTGATTGTTCTGGGTGTGGAAGACTCCATACAAGAGCACATTCACACTATTGCTGCAAGCTTCCTGCCAAGGTCTGCAAGGTCCCAATGTTCCAGACTACTCGCTTGACTTCTTTTCCAATTTACAAGTCTAAAATAATAAACCGTGTGACTTGTTTGGTGCAGTGTGTAAAGAAGCTGGAGAAAACTTAATAAATTCAAATGCACCAAAAAAATCTGGTCCGTATTTCAAAACAGCATTATAATCTCTTCCCCTTCATCACTAAGGCAAAGTAAAGCCAATTCTAGTGTGTTGGTGGCAGTGGCTCAGAGGGTTGGCACATGCATACTTTTAGACTATCTTTAATTTTTCTTAGAGGATAGCATTTTCACCATGTTGATAGATGCTCTTGTTACAGAAGGTGGCTACTACAGATCCTGACAGCCTCAAAGTTACGTTGGCAAGCCACAGACAAAAGTAATGTCATGGAATAGCTGACACCTGCAAGCAAGAAACTATTGTAACAGCTGTGTGCAGTCTTGGTGTAACTAACAAATCCAAAGGCTGCCCTGACCCGCACTCTATGATCTCAAAAACTGTCAGGAGGTGTCAGTATCAGCCAGTCCTGCTTTATGAACTTACCACATTCCTTAAAAAACCCAACAAAACCAACAATACAATAATGGAAGAAAAAAAAATCATTGTTGTAGAGCAGAAGAAAGGCCGCTTTCAAGCTGCAAGGTACTTAAAGCTCATGTTTATGTCAACAGTGACACAATCACAGTAACCAAATAGTCCAGGTCAAAACTGATGTTGCCACTCATACATTTCTCTTATAACAAGAAAAAATATCTGCCTTTTATAATTCAGAAATGGGATTGTTTTCTTGAATTACAATTTGAGATAATTCCTTTTCTAATGTTCCATTTTGCTTATCAAACTGCAGCAGCAGATGTTTTGGAAAAAATCAAATTCAACCATTTTTCTTTTCAGACCACATCTGGGAACAGTTCCTCTATTTGCTGGTGCATTTGAAAGTACTATATTCTACTGTCTCCTTGCATTTTCTTTACCTTCTTAATATTTGGTACACACAGTTGTTGCCAGCTACAAGGAAAGCTGGACAAATATACGGGCCCCAAACAACATAACTAATTGGAAAGGCGCAAAGCTTTGAGGTTCAAAGATAAATCACTTCTGCCTCTGGTGTCTGTATATTCCACTGTCTTCAGCAAAGTTGTACAGATACACTTGAAAACTAAGCTATTGTCATATCCAATGGAGTATATTTTGCCTTAAAAGATCTACTGTGTTCTGAAATGAGCTGCACTGTTGTTCAGCACAGATTCTTGTTTATCCTTAACCTGGGTAGAGCCTGATACTCAGCCCCTGGGCTCATCATTCTAAACGGCTCTCTAGTTACCTTAGTTACAATTAAAAAAAACTTTTTGATTGCTTTCTTGTGACCAAGACTTATATACTTCTAAAATAGCTGAGAATTGCTATTCTCTGGAAACATATAGAGAGTGATTGTGTTTCACACAGTATTTACTGGATAACTCTCGAATCCTGCTTTAGATAAATAGTTTCTGATTGTTTGCATTACTATACACAATTAAAAACAGACACTTGCTCAATTTCAAATTAACAGAAACACTGCCATGACTTAAATTCCTCTTTCTAGTAGACTGCTTTTTATTCCATCTGGAATTTGTATCCCTTACTTCATTCCAAAACAAATTTGTCTAGTCTTGCATGTTAATTGTCCCTAGTGGGTTTCAACCTAACCAGCACCTCTGCTCTTAAGTCCCCACCACAAAGAGAAGGTCCACTAAAACAAAAAGAGAATGTTTCTCCTGCAAACATATTGAAATTAAATCTCCATTGCCCAGAAGCTACCTCTGATCATATTAGCCTGTGGTGACACACATCTCAGTAACCACAGTGTTACTGGTGTTAGTGCTACTGCTTGTGGAGCAGCTGTCATGTCCTTAGGGTAAGCACCTTTTGCATCCAAGAGGAGAGCTCATGACCTGAAAGGAACTCGTGCCTGGTCATACAGCAACCATAAGTGCAAGGGGAAGATCTTTAATTTTCTTAGCTCCAGTAATCTCAAAGGTGAAGGTTTTAGACTGAGGAGAGACATTAAGTTTTCGATTACATAAAAGGTAATTGCAAACAAAGCAAAATAAGCACCCCTCATGTTTGCACCAATCTGAATTGGTACTAGTGATCTTAAAGTGAAACAAGCTGAAGTCAGAAAAGAAATTTCTAAAAGTGAAGTGCAGTCTGAAAGTGCAGCAAAGCACTGGCAACACCATCTCTGGCCACATTAAGAAGTTAGACAAACTTATGTCCAGAGTGATGAAGGCTCCTAACTGGAGCAAGGAACAGACTGGATGTCTTCTCTGAGTCCTTTCTTGGTATAGCTAAAGCTATATCAAATTAAATTTTGTTCATAATTTCCAAATTTTGAATGAAATCAGATGGCTGTTTCTTTGAAAATTTGATACTAGGAGATTTCATATGCATCCAGAAATCACTGTAACACTGGCACTGTAATTTATAACCACAAAGTTCTTTTTCTTTTTTTTAAAATCTCATATCTGCTACTACACATATAAAGTCTTATAGGTTTTTAACTCACCTAATGTGAAGGGCAACTATATTTCAGTTTTCTATTAGAAGAATATTGAGAACCATGATGAGATTATTTATGTACATAGAACCCCTTGCTTATACTTAGTAGGAGACTATGGAACAATATGGACCCTCTCATTAAGGAGGTTTCAGAAGCTCAGAGAGCAATCTCTGTGCATCTCCTCTTTGTGAGAGCTGCCAGTCTCTCTTACTGACATCGATCCACTGCTCTGTAGACCAAGATGCAGATACATCTTGTACACATGCCAGTTATTTGCTCAAAAGACATTTAAAGGAAAGCAACACAGGTAATTCATACAAACCAGTTCTATTAAATATCAACTGAAAGTATTCAGCACGCATCTCCAGTAATAATACAGTACTTGAACATCCAGTAATAATACAGTACTTTCAAATTAGTAGAATATCCTGTCTCTCTCACTTTACCTGAAGGAAGGAAAGATAGACACCTCTTTGCAACCACAGCAGGAGCTCAGAAACTAACATCTTGGATAAAAATGATTCATGCTTGTGCATAGATCAAGCATCTGGTACCTAATCTTTGATGAGCTAAAAACTAATTCATGATTCACTGGTTTGTACTTGCAAGTGACAAAATACGTTTTTCAAAACAGGACAGTCACTTCTTGGCCTTGGCCTAGGAAAGACAGAATAAGCACTTCAATGTATAAATTTCTCTTCAGAGAGATGCTTGTGTGTAACAAATACCTTGTCTAGAAATTTAGATCCCTCACTGAAATGGAAAAACTTTACATAAAAAAAAAAAAGCAAACTCTGACATTGAGTCAGAATATCTTTATGATAGTTCAATAATATCACAGTGGCCAAGAAAGAACTGCCCCCAAAATACAACATTTGGCTTAATCTATGCTTATAAGGATTTTGCTTGTGCCCCTATGCCAGCAAAGCCTCCAAATACAGACATATAATTACTTTTACCAGTACAAACTCCACTAGCATGAACTGTATGTGCTCTAGTAGTCAAATAACTCTTACAAATGCAGGTTTTATCTATATTAGAAGGTGACTCAGCAGTCTTATTCTGGCTAAATACAAAACTGCAGCAACTCAGAAGCAGATTCATAGAGGAGTCTGTCTTGCAGAGAATGGTAACTGGCAGAGATGACACCTATTGCTGTCCAGTTTTAATTCACAGCCTCCATACATCTGACAGTAAGCAGACCATTGATTTAGCTGCTGGTTCAATCAAGGGCACAGGAGCTAACAGGTAGTAGTACTCCTTACAGGAGTTAGCTTAAGGACAAGAATGAAAAGTGAAGGCTTTCAAGTCACACCTTGTTCACCAGAAGATATGTGTAACACAGCTCTTTCTACTTTCCAGTTTCTTCCTCTTGAAGGCCTGTAAGTTTTGCATCCTCTGGTTCCACTGCTTGCACCACTTGAAAAGTTATAACTTCAGATTAAGTGCAATTTGTACCAAAGAACAAAAAATGATAGCACAATTTTTATACTGTTTAAGGCAATTTCAACATTTGACCTACATTGAAACTACTCAATTACAACCATTTTGAGAGAATTTAAATAGCTGTTTTCCATACTGTACAAAGCCTTTCTTTAGCTTTGATACAGCTTCCTGAAAAACAAACTTTTCCCTGAGACAATATTATGAAGGCAAGAATCCTTCCAACAGAAGGAATTACTTCTGTTCTGGGTCACAGTCAATAAAGCAGCAATAAATCTTGTAATGTAACTCAACACACTTAAAAGTATTTAAAAATACCTGTAACAAACAGTGCCTGATAAACCATGGGAAAGCAAGGTTCAGCATTCCAGATGTCTTCAGATGCAACCACCTCTTTCAATGTGCTTCTCAAAGCTTCCTCCCAAACTAACTCATAACAGGATTTTGCCTGCAGCCTGTTTTTTGCAGTACAATCAAAGGGTTCTCAGGACTTAAAGGAACCCTTAAGTAACCATTATGCAGCTAAAATTTAATTGTCTTGGTTAGTCTGGCTTGTTTCAATGAGTGCTGCTCTTGACTTCCTTAAAGATGACTTGACTGCTACCACCTGGCCTAGCTTTCCCAATCCCACAGGCAGCTGTGGACTTTTATTGTGCCCATTTGTGAGTAAAATTAACTCTTTCCAGTCCTCAGTGAGGAGAAAACAACTGAGACAAATAAAGACCATCTAGGGACAGGAACATTCATTTTGTCAGGTCTATAAAGTGCTTGGCCCACAGAGAGCTGCCCCCATTCCTAACAGGCTTGCTACAAAACAAACAGTGTTCAGGACCACCAGTGATCCTTCAGACATACTCCTTTGGTCACAGTGCCAGAAGTCTACTATGTAGCTGAGGAAAAAGGATGTGCTTGGTAGCAAGGTTTCCTCAGAAAACTAGTTCAATGTAATATGATTATGTTGCACGGAGTCTCAGAGTCTCTTACTGGCTTTTCCAGACTGTTATGGCCTCTGTAAAATCTGCATGAAAATACATAGTTTCAAAAATACAAAGTGTCTTTCAGTTTTGTGGAAACTCAAGTTTCAAGGAAAGTGATTATAATAGCGACCTCAGTGAAGTCTGTACTATTCATCTCTTGTAAGACACTGAGAAAATCCACATAGAAGAAAGGCTTAATATAGTGAGCATGTTATTGCATTGAGCACTGTGCAATGCAGCAGAGGATTCAACAAGTCATTAAGGTACAGAAAACTTGGTGTTTGTACTTTGTTGCCCACAGAACTATGGCAGAACAATGAAGTTATATTAGATTTATTTGCAGAATTAAAGAAGCAAATGCAGCCTCTGAACAAGTCACTAAGACAGATGCTTTCTTGAACTCCATGTTCTTTAGCTGAACTCCTTGAGTTTCTAATGTGCCACTGAGCTGTTTTTACTCACCTGAGTAGCCAGTGAGCCTGGTGCACATCCACTCTGTGTCAACCTTTGCAGTCTTCTCTTAATGCCACTCAAACATCAAGATGATGAAATTAATCTGTTGTAATTGGGTATCTTTGCTAAAGAAAGAGCAGAAACGAGTGGGTTTTCCACGTGTGGATTAATTTCTGTGGTGCTGCCAAATGGTTTGTGTCCCTATAATCCAAAAAAAATCTCAAGAATAATGAAGTTGGTAAACTAGTACCTACTTTCCTGCATTAGGGAACTCAGTTTTCATTTTCATCAACTAAATCATGCAATGTCTGGAGACAAAACCTGGTCTGAATTAGCCTGTAATATAGCAAAAATCATCACTCTCTTACCGTAGGCACTCACTGTGGTAATTCTAATGCAAGATCCTTTACATGTTTCTTTTTTTTTTTTCTTTACCAAGGCCACAATTTATGTAGATTACATCTCATCAGATTACATATTACTTTCTATAATCACACATTTTCCCTACTTAGTTCTGTGAGTCAGCACAGGTGGGACACATGAACAACCACAAAACCATGGATGAAATGCAAAGACTAAATTTATTTCCGTTACCTCACCAACTGGAGGATTCCCAAAGCAGCACCCAGGCAGAGGCACACAGGTAGGGACACAGGCACCACGGAGCTTGGTCCATCCTAGAGGATCACTGAACCTGCTGTCTTTGCCTGTTTATCAGGGATTTGCACAGGCATATTTTCCCACTGTGCTTTGATCTTTCCCCAAGCAGAGCAGGAATCTCAAGTATGTCTGATAGGGTGCCTCTGAGTCTTTCACAAGGCTTTGTTATCTAAACACAGATGTTCTACTTGTCAAACACACAAGGCTAAACAACAATTAGTATGATATATGTGTTTTTCTACACCCCAGCTGCAAGTCACTTGAGTGTGTTTATAATCCTCCTTGCCAATCTTCCGCTATTATCCCACATTGCTCGTTCATATATCACAAAAAAACCCATTGTGCCAACAGGAGCTCAGGAGGAGAGGAAAAAACTTCAATACTTTACAAATGTGAAGGAAACAAACTGAAATTCACATTCCAGTATCTTCTCAGAGTTACAGACTGCTAAAAAGTGCAATTGAAGACTATCAGGAAAAACTTGAGATTTATTTTCAGTGTTCAAAATTAGGCCCTATTTGATGGAATTCTACATTTTCAGGCAGCATCTCCTGGCACATCAAGTTCTTAAGAAATGCAAATCAAGATGTGCAGCCATTTATCTTACCAGTTTGTTCATTGAAAAGATGTTCAGTACTCGTTCTCTTCTTTCCTCAGACCACCTCTCTTCACAAGCCTTTAGGTAACCAAAACAGACTATGGAGAGATTCCCACACTGTGGGCACAAACCACAACTTGATGTTGGGTGCTGAGGGCAGAGACAGATCCCACAGAGCGGTTAAGCGCACACTGCGAGTGCCCATCCAGGCTGTTACTGCCGGAGCGGTGCCACCGCTATTGGTAGCTGTCTGCAGTCCTTTCATGGGTGTGAGAATGAGGTGGGGTGGCTGAGGACACAGAGCTGAGTTCTAGTCTGTGGGAGCTGGGTGTGAAATGGGACAGTGAGCGAGAGCTTGGAGGGCAGGGTCAGTTTCTGGAGTTCTGTTGGAGGATCAACAGGTGCCATATGGGGTTGGGATTAAGGAAAGCAGACGTGCCAAGAGGCATGTCAAAGGGTTGGCAGATCACATTAGAAAAGGTGAGGTTATCTGCAGGAAATGCTCCTCTGAATCCACAGTCTAGCAAACTAAAAGATTTCATCTGTCTGTAAGAACCACCAAGGCTGGAGACCCTTATGCTGTCAGGTATGCACGTGGACTGGCACAGAAGCAGGAGTTGCTGTCCCTGATGGCATTTTCCCAACCAGATGAACTTTGGGAAATTCATGGTCTACAGACTAGGGCATAATGGACAATCCAGCTTAGATTCCTTTCATATTTATTATTCTCAGCAGGCCTTTCAAAAGACATACCAGTATTGCAAAGAAAGACTCTTGATGCTAGCAAGCCTCAAGCAGGATAAGGAAATACCTGTTAAAAGAATACTGCTAAGGCAGTCTAGACAATTAATAGATGACATGAGATCTGGCTTATCCAAAGAAGGAAACGTCCAATGAATGAGTAACAATCAGAATGACTTTTGAGAAAGATATTTCAGTTTATTGTCAAGACACTTTCTTCCCTCTTTTCTCAGCATTTTACATAACCTCTAATGTGGAATTTCAGTTCTAAGAGGTCACTACAATTTCCCAGATACTGGTGACCATTTGAGAGAGTATGTTTGTGGCACAGAAAGTAATTTTTGAGATACTTTGTTCCCCAAATCCAACATGGGTATATATGAGGTTGTCACGTCATGCAAGAAACTCATCCCATGAATTAGATGACTAATTTGTTGCATAGTCAGTCCTGGACTTCAAAGCTGCACTTCAGAAAAAGCTTTTATGTTACACAACTCGCTTGTCTTGGATTGTGCAGAACAGTTTAGAAACAAAGTACTGTTGGTAGATTTTTAAACTCAGAAATAACCTATCAACTGATTTTCATGTCCCCACAAGCCACAATCTTAAATTGTGACAAATTTTGCAAAATGCTGCATCAGTAAATGGAGAAAATCAGTTTTAGTGTTCCGTGTTGGAATAAATAAAGTGCTACCTCTTGAATATTACATCGAGGTACACTTTTTTCCCCTCTATATCACATCACAGAGATCTTTCTGTGGAATTTAAGTTTGGTTGATCCTGGATAACAAAGTTTTGCCCTAATCAATCAAGTGTGTTGTGTATGAGAATATGCCAGTCTCATTTGGCATCACCGGTGGCTTGGTACTGTGTATCCATAGCTTGCAAACGGATACAAGCTACCCTAGACCCAAACTTCGATTTTTGTGCAGCTGTATGACCTCTGCTCACAGCCAAATGCCCCCCATATATGTTTTCATTGTCTTAAGATCTCCTTTCTGAAATGTTCATTTGCTTTGTATTAGAACTCTATAAGTAAATACATTAAAATCATTATCACTCCTTAGTCTGTGACTGCTGTACTGACTATATATATCTGGGCTTTGCTTTTTTAATCCTTTTGACTACACTGCAGCTCCCAGCTGGCACAGTAATTTGCAATAATCATCATTTTCCAGGCAGCACAAATACAACATCCCAATTAAGGCAAAAAGGATGGGACCATCTTTCAGACTCCACTACAGCAGCTTCTCAACTGGTGACACTGCACTGGGCACTGAATGTTCTTGTCATTGTAATGCTCTTTCACCTGTTTTAAACTGACCTAGAAACCCTTCTGAAGGCAGGAATTTCTGTGTCCATTTTCTACAACCCAGTGTGAAAAGAGTGTTAGAAACATAGCTAGTAATTCCACTTGGAAAAATTAAACCAAACAGATATTTGACTGACTTTTAAAGAAGGTGTAGAAGAACAACATTCCTCTTCAGATGGCAGATAGAATATTTTCTTTCTTGTATTTCTTGTTTGTTGACAGATTTTATCTATGTTTCTTTGTAATTTACATGTGTCCCCCAAATCAGTTTTTACCATCTAAACACAAACTTTTACTGTTTGTTTTCAAGAGGTACTGAATATGTAGATACTTCTGCTATCTACATGTCCTGACAGATTTTCACTTTTTTTTTTTTCCCCTTCAGTAGCTAAAATTTCTGGTTTTATACTGAAGGATGGTGCACAAATAGAGCAGTATACTACAGACAAGGGCAACTCATGTACATTGTGTTGAACTTTCTCTCTTCTGTATACACCTCCCCCCATGCATATACACATACATTTGGATTCACTATTAACAAACAATTCGCTACTGAAAATCAATGACATTTTCCATTAGCATTGCTGGGAGAATTGATTGGCCCTTAAAAGGTTGGTTTCGCATTACGTGAAAGAACCCAACTGCAAAGAGCTAAATTTGCAACATAAAATGTACCCACATTCTGCTGGGGAAGCACTATCAAGGCTTTTACCCAGTTTTTCAGGATGATATATGGCATAGCACAACTTTATCAAACACCTTTGTATTTTACTCTGTTGAGTGTTTATTAATTCACAGCAGTATAGCCACAGTCAGGATCCAACACTGAATAGCTGCAAGATTTTAATGCTGCACTCTGATTTAAAGTTGATAACACCTTTTCAGAACAAAGAAAATTATCAAGACTTTTAGTTTTAAACATGTAAGAAATCTCTTCTGAAAGTTACTTAGAAAATAAACTTTAAGTGGGGAACTCAGAAAAATACCAATGACATTATACAGCTGTTGTGTTCTCTTTTGTGAGTACTGAAGTTATTTTGAACAGATAAAACGATTCCTCATTGCCACTGTAATTTTTGTATTATGTTGTTTTACCATTGAAGTTCACCCTTTTAATTCTCTCTTATAGAACCAAACAATGCATCATCTTGAATCACTTAAGTGTACTGTAGCAACAACTTTGTTGGAACAGAGACTGCTGCTATAAATGTTTTTTCCAGAACTTTGTGGTATCCAAACGACACCTTTCAAGATCTATTTGCTTGCAGTAGTACGAACACACCCATCCCTGTGCTGCATGCATGAGTGGCCTCTTTGCTTCAGGAAATTACTGAAAGTTTAGCAAGTTATCCAAACACAGGTGTCTGAAGACCTGTAGCCAGTCCACTGAAATCACTGGACGCAGAGTAGTTGGTAGAAATTAGGCAGGATGAATCTGAGCTTTAATCTTCCTAATCCCCCTTACTCTTTCCAGATTTCAGGCATGGTGTTTCTGTACAGAACCTTTCCAAGAGTTGTGCTCAAGCCCATAGCCACCCACTCAATGTTGCCTGTGGTATCCTAGAGCATTCCTCACTTCAGCCTATTATTGTTTCACTAAGCTCACCCAATTTGGTTGTTTTCCTCTTCTAAAATGTTGGGTTGGGTTTTTCCCCATATTTGACTGACTTTGGCCTTCTATACCCTTTGAATTAGGAGGAAACACATGGGCTAAAATTTTTCTTTCTTCTTTCTGTGACTATTCCATTGTTCCTTCGCCTTTTTCTCTCTTCCGTACTTGCTGAAACTTCTTTATCTTCAAGAATCTGCCTGCCCGCCCCGTACCTTACTCTGTGCATTCACTGCACTTCTCAGTAATTTCCCTGCTTCACCTTTTCTGCCATTATTCTGTGCCTTCTTTCAGGCCAAGCCTTATGCATGAACCAGCATCAAGTCCTGTTTCCTCAAAATCCCGTCTTCATCAAATCCACTTCTTTTCCAATTCTTTTCATTGATTACCAGTAGCCTTCCAAACCTCCTCTCACCAAGCTATTGCTCCTTGCATAACCTCCATCCTTTCGATTAAGGTAATAAATTCTCCTCTTCAACATACAAACAGTAGTGAAGACTTGCAAATGCCCCAGAGCCTTATGAATATATTAATGTAATAACTGGAGGGCTCTAATTCTCAGGGGGATTGGGGCTGCCTACATCTTACAGCAGTAAGAACGAACTTTGAACATAAACAGGTGAAGCATGGAATGAGTTCATACAGGGCAAAATTTAGAAAAAGACTGAAATTGAAAACCACATTCAGTAAGAGCTAAATCAGATATTAATCTCACATCTAGCTTCAATAATGATTCTTGTTTTAGAGGCAAACTGTAAACCAACTGTAAACTCTGAACAACCCCTATAACAGCATGATACATTAAGCATCAGGATGACAAGTCTGCTTTTTCTCTTTAGCACAGCCAAGTTTGTGTATGTGTGCTCCTCTCCCACTGCTCTAGATATCTTTAGCTGAGGTTTACAAAACTTAATCTACACCTGTTGACCAATATAGCCACAACTGCAACACCTCCCTATGGAGGATCCTTATTATAGAAGAAAGTAACTTTGAAGCTGCAAATGTGACAAAAATTTAAGTATGTTTTTCTTACTACAAATACATACACACTAAAGCTGTTGCAAGTACATAAAACATAGCCTAAAGCTGTCATGCTCTTAAGGTTTTGCAGTGAAAACTTGGTCCAAGGACTGTACTGCTGAGAAAACTGAGCTACTAACCAGTTCTGTGTGCTGCTACAGAGGATGATGCAGTGGGGAGATGACACAGTGATGCCTCCCCAAGAAAGTTACATCAGTTACCGAAGTATTATAAGCACCATTAAACATAATTCAGCACATTTAATGTATCTCACTCCATCTTATATTGTGCAAAATGTAGTCAGTAGCAATATCAGTAAGGCTACATGAACACTGCTTTCTGCATACTAGCCAAAACCTGAGCTTCAACCCAAATCACCTTACACCAGATGAGGGTTTTAGATGAGCATAAAGGCTACCCCCTGTGCCCAGAGAAGAAATTCAGCCCATGCTACACTGAAGTTTAATCTCACCTACCTGCATTGACAAGATGTACATTTAAGCTGGGACTTTCCAAAGAGTTCCCCATATAGCCTATAAAAGTGACTGGCAGTATCATCTGGCAAACATAAGGGAACCACGGAATTAGCTAGCTAAGCTCTCTCCTACAGGCATTTTATGCACAACGCTGCTGTAATTTTCTCCAGTGCAGCCATTTTTATTTTATTGTAAACAATAAAACAAAGCCTGAGTATTTTCCTGTCAGGATGGTGGTGTAAGGACTAGCTAGTATTTATGCATAGCTTTGAAAGGAACAGTACCTGCTGTGAAAAGGATATTGCCCTTTCATGTTTCATGTGGTCATCTCTGGGAGGTACACAAAATCAAGACTCTTGAGATGCTTAGCAGTGGCAGAATGTTTTGCACTCTTTGCAACAGAATGTAGTTCAGATCTGTGTTAATAATATCTGAAACAATCTACTTTATCCAATCAGGTTTTAATTTAATTTAAAAAATCCAATGGTTCTTTAAATATAGTTAGCACATAAAAATGGCAGAAATTTTACTGTGCACCAGTTAATCCCACCCTTGTTCCACTGAGTGCAGTTGAATTCACCCTCTCCACTTCATTTTAGTTCTTGCTTACTCTGCTTATAATCTAGTTCTCCAAGAATTTTAGTTTTCTGGGACAGGTTGCAAGTAGGAAAGAAATAGTAGAAACATTCACACATGACACTGGAAAAAGTTTAGTACTATTTCAATTTTTTTAGTCTCAGAATTGAGATGCCAAAATGGAATGTATATGTAAGTACACTTTAATTGTCTCTAAAGTGAATTAGTAAATTTTGCAATGAAAAATGGGAGATTAGTAGCTGGATGCATGGATTATGGCATTCAGTGGGTTGCCATACACTGTGGGACACATCTTTTGAAGGAGATTTTAATCAATTCAAAAGACAATATGGCAACTGGCAGGCTTTTTCTTTATTGAAGCAAAGTCACAGCATTTTCAGCACTATTCCCCTCTTATGAAGGGAAGAGTTAAACGAAGGCCCCTGAAATTTACATTGCTAACAAGTAAAGGGTTGAAGAAAGAGATTACAAGCATATTTCTCTAAAATAAATAATCTACAAAGAGTGCTTTTTCTTCTTAAAAGCAATCTAAAAATGTATAAATTCTATGGTACGGAGATCAAAAGATATTTTAACAACTTTCAATATTTACAAACAATACAAAAACTGCGCATGCCATCAAATGATGTAAAATTCTTCTTAAAAATTAAAAGCTTCACTCCTACTAAGAACCAAAAACTCCAGCCAATATTTCAGTTTTAATTAATTTTCTTTACAACTGGGAAACCGTTAAATGTTTTTATTATCTGTAAAATATACAATAAAAATGAACCTCACTAAATTATTAAGGTTAAAAAAGAAGAGAAATACTGCAGGCAAATCAAAAACTAAAGTAATTGTAACTTATTCTTTGGTAACCAAAAGTTAGCAAGTATCTGTATTTCAAGTGATGAAAAGTAATAGTCTTCCTGTTTTGACAAATGGAAGACAAGACTTCTGGCAAAACACAACTCCCAAGTTTCAGTTTTGAAAGACGGGCTCCACCTACAGCTTTGTAGTGCAAGTTCTAAAAGTCAAACTTTGCTTTCTAATTCAGAAATCTAACCGTCCTGGTTCCGGCCAGGACAGGGTTAAATTCCGCAGTAGCCAGGAGGGGCAGTTATCCTATACCACCTCACATCATTACCAGGGGCAGGGAACGGGGGGCTCTTCGAGTCTGGGTAGTGTGGCTGAGGTTCATGTATTACTGGGCTTCTCCTACACTCTGTCATTAGTATTGTTGCTGTTACTGTTTTCTTATCTCATTGCTGTTTTCAGTCAATTGTCCTTATCTCAACCCGTGATCCTAGCCTTTTGTGCCTTCAATTCTCCTCTCCAGCCCTCAGCAGTGGGGAAGGGGAGGAAGGAGGGAGGGAGTGGCACACGGTTTAGAGTGTTTCAGTGGGAAGACTAAATTAGGGAATATCATTCCTAAACCACAATAGTAACCCTTCCAAATTCTGGTAGTACACTGCTTCATTCCTCTCCCACTTTCCTGTTGTCTGCTTGCATCCTCTGCAGACATCCAGTTGTTCCAGTTCTCTAAGGGAATACTCCAGTCAAGAAAGCAATTCACTTGGAAATGAGTGTTTCACCAAGCATATGTGTGTGGCTGCACAGCAGCTAGTAGTGTGCTATAAAACTCAGCTCCCTTTTCCATGTTAACTATGTATTTCATTTTCCCTCAGGAAAAAGAGTAAAAAGTACAGTACCCTGGACCAATTCAAAACCTGGTGAGCTAATTGCTCAAGCAGGACACGCTTCATCGAACACTGGGTCACAACCCAGTAATAAGCCATGCAACCCCAGCACCAACCCTACTACCTTCTCATAGTTGAATGGGCCTCACTGTGCCTCTCTCTGCTTAACATATGCACTACGCTGCACCACTACAAGGCTTTTGAACCAAATATCCAGCTTGTACCACAGGAGCCTTCCCATTTCAGGCTTATTCCTAAATTTTTCTTGCACAACTGCAGTCTCAAGAAAAAGAAAAACATCACACCCCTATAGACTCTGAGAAAACTTCCCTCCCACCCCACAAGAGGACTTCTAAGGGTTTACACAAAAAATTCAACTGTTAACTTTCTTTAAGCTACAGACCACTCATTCAAAGCAAGTGCTCCCCAACCCAACCCAACCATGCAGAACCACCATCGCTTTAGCATTTAAACATACACATGCAGTTCATGGAATAAATGCTCAGCAAAGTAAACTTGTCCTGGTCTGGGCTTTCTTCGGGAATCTAGTCCTCTGTGATTTTCTAGACTAATAGCCAAAGCCTTCTGTCACACTGCCTTTTAACTTTCTTCAGCTGAAGGGCTTAGATACTTCCTTGAAGTACCTGGTTGAGTCATTAAGTCTAGATGGGCTGGATCCAAGGTCTCCTTGCAACCTGCCTCCTCAACATATGCAAAATCATTCATGTCCATTTCATCACTGTTAAACATATCAAGCTGCCTCTCTTGCTGCTCTTCCAAAGTTCTCCGGACCCTGCCCTCTGACTGTTCCACCACTTCCCCATCTCCTTCACTAATGACAGTCATGGGGCTGCTCTGAATGCGGTTGCGGACGTTGTACTTGCTGCTGGCAGCAGACGGGGGTGTTCTTGACCGGCCATACCTAGTGCCAGAGAAAGACATACTCCTTGGCATCAGGCCCTCACTCTTGGCCCACTCTTCCTGGGCCCGTTTGCTCTTGCTGGGTGAGCAGCTGGCAGGGCTGTCAGAAAGGTCAGCAGGGGCATCTGTCTTTGTCCGGTGGAACCGCGGGTCCGTATTCTTCAACATCTCTGCCGCAGACATCCGGGAACTGGTGTCACAGCGGCTCCCTTTCTTCAGCAGCAGGGCTTTGAAGTTGTCATTGCTGGTGCTGCTCTTGCGAACACTTCTCTGAATAGATCCAGCTTGTTTGAGGGTAGCTAAATTTGGGGAAGCACCAGTGGGAGTTACGGGGGGCGACGGAGAATGGTTGCGGGTACGGTCATCTTCAGAATCTTTACGGCCAAGGACTTTCCTTTTGGATCTGAGTTTAAAACACAACAAAAAAAAAAGGACCAAAATTAAACATTTTGCCTCCCCTAATTAAACTCAGTTTAGACGAATGACAATGAATTAAGCTAAAGCAGAGAGAGGGGAAAACGGAGAAGTAATCTAAATCTGAAGCATGAATAAGAACACCACCAGAACTGTACAGGCATTAATGCAGGTACTGGAGGTATAAGCTAAGTTTATTCCTCTTTTCCTGCAAATCTGGAACAATGAAACTACTAAAACTGGCAATACTGATGTACAAAACACTTTAGCAAATTTTGTATATCAGATTTTCGAGAGTCAGTATTAAACTGCTAAGACTAATATCCTATAAAGATTTAGACTCAACGCCATTTCTCTGTTAGTTTAGGGACTTGATTCAAAATATGTCATCTAGACTACACTGGGTTGTTTTGTTTTGTTTTACTATTTCATTTGACACTCTGTGGAGAACAGGTGCACTTTCCTTTAGAAAAGGACACTGAAATACACTGCTGCTGAAGTTCAGATGGAGAAAAGGGAGCCACATGTAACCATTCTGGATTAAATGATTAAAAAAAAAAATTCCCTCCCTAACCGAAATAGTAAATAAATAATGAAAAGAGTTTTCCAGTTTCTCTTAAGATGCATGGACAAAATTCACAGTTATGTTGGTGCTCTGTCATTGCAACTCTTCAACTAAATGAAGGAGAGACCAACTTCCTGACAAGAAAGTTCTCTTTCCAAATGAAAGGGTGAAGTGTTTTTCAATTTAAATGTAAAGTGCAGGGATAACAAAAGCAAAATTAAGAAACAATCATGGAACTGGGAATAAGTGGAAACTGCACTTCTATTGCTCCATTTTCACATTATTAGAAAACTTAAAGAAATGTACATGCCTGGTATCTGTGGCAAAGCCGCTTTGCTTCTTTGCTGACAAAGCAAGAATTAATTCAAAAAGATCATATAAAGCCTATTTTTAAATATGGCATTTTGGAAGAAGTTTAAAACAAGTCAGCAGACTTGTTACAAATACAAGATTATCATGCTGTAATTCCATAATAATTTTTATCAAGCATGTGCTCAATACAGACCATTCCCCTTGTAAAACAGGTTTCTACTTAATGTGATCTTTAGCTTTACTTTCTTAAAAGCCTTGAGATTTTGCCAAGGCAAATTCAAATGTTTTTATGCATTGTATTAATATTTAAAAAAAAACCCTGAAAACAAAGTAGAAGGATACATTGTCTGAGTAGGTGGTAGCAACAGACATTGCCATAGATCTGCCAAGACTTTGGAGTGATCCTGTCTCTCTTAAGTGGTGGTGAAGTTTATGCACAGATTACTTATGATACCCCCACAGACAACTGTATCACCTGTTATTTTCAGCAGCTCCTGCTGCCTCCACCTGTCTTTCTGGAAGAAGAATGTAATACCAATATCCATTCAGCCTGAGGATGAATGGACACCAGAAGACAGCACAGAGATAAAATGATGACTTCAACAGCAGCAAACATACAAACCTTGTCTAGATTTAACTGTGTATTAATATTGTAGGCAGCAAATTTTTTTGGTGCTTGGATGCTCTGCAAGTCTGTATGTGAGCATGTGCATGCATTTGTTAAAGGGAAAAGATTTTCCTTCATTAGGGTTTTGGCTGCCTATATGTATCTTTAAACACTGCAATGTTGGGGTTGTACTGTGCCAAACCCCAAATTAAATTAAAAATAAAAAATAAAAAAAATAAAAAAAATTCAATTGCAAAGATCTGCAGGGGAAGACTTTGTTATCCTAGCTTGGATTAATCCAGTAAGACTGTGAATGCAGTGCAGAGCAGTCAGTTTGCTGTCAGCATGTAATCAGTTTTTCTCAGTATGTATGAATTATGGAAGAAACTTAATTTTAAGAACCAGATTTGGTTTTGGTGGCTTTTCAGACACAGGTAGGGTATATATTTAAACAAAACTGTGACTTAGAACTTAAGTTGTTCTTTCTGTCCTTAACACACATACCAGTAAATTTCTTGTCTTACTCCAAAGCATATATATTCGAGAGTGCCAATCACTGAAATAATACCTTTTAGAAATAGTGAAGGGAAAACCAAAACCTTTTTTATTAACAACCAAGGAAGATAGTGGTTCAAGTCTAAAGCCAGCAAAAGCAAGGTCTTAATAAAAAATGTGACAGTTTTAATTATGTCACATCCAGTTCCATTGTCCATTTCCCCATAAACTCACAAATTACATGTGTGTGCACAGACACAGAGATCCACTCTCTATCTGCATACATAATGGAGAAAGGCTCCTGGTCAGAATATTTCATTCTAAAACCAGATTTGTTGCAGTTCTACTGAGTGCCATGCAACATGAATGCAACAGACCATTTTTAGAACATCTCCTACAGGCCAAGTCCTAAGGGGTAACAGTAAATTATAAAAAGTCAGTATCATATATATGCAATTTCTGTAAAATCTGAAAGGGAGTAGTTTCAAATATGAAAAAAAATAGCATTTGCATCCAAAGTGCTACAGGCTCCCAGCTGCTCTGCCTGTTCCTCATTCCTGATGCAAAACTCGGGCACAGATGTGCAAACTGACTAAACACCTGGATAAACCCACACGGAGCTGCTGAGCACATTCATTGTCAGTAACTGCACCCCCTCTGCAGTTTGCAGTATAAGACAAAGCCGCAAGATGGTGCTACAACTACACCCAATCTAGTCTACAGGCAAGGTCTGTGTGTGCTGTTTAAATGGTGCACACGTTTCCTTTTGTGGTTTAAAGCTTTTATTTGCTTGAGGTTTTCTACTTTTTCTTTTTGAGAACCTAATGTGAACAGCACAGAAATCTAGCTGCCGTTCAGGGTGATTTTGTTTTCAAGGGAAATGAATAATGTCATTAATAACAGAGCCAGTATTGCACATTTCATTCATGAACCAGTTTGACACAAAACACCCGACCTCAGGCTGGATTATGGCAAACTATAATCCAGCGTTTGCCATATGTTTTGCCATATGACTGACATGTTGTGTTACTTGCCAGTTTCAGCCACGCTTGCCATGAAGCATTAGCGTTGAGCCTCTGTCCCAAACTGCACCATATAAGCAGCGAAGAGAGTAAAAAGATGGAGAAGAACAAGAATGAAAACAAAAAGATACACAGAAAAAGCAACAGTAGAGTTAATATGGCAGATTGAGAACAGTACAATAACTACTAGACATAACTTGGTATTTTAAGGGGCAAGATATTTATAATATAATCTACATTGATTTAATCTGGTCATTTCTAGTTCAGAATGGATTACGTATATTTGTAAAACAATAAAAGGCAAGTTCTTTTCCTTATCTTTTTCATATATAGCCTTAGTAGAAAGCTGATAAATATGTGCTTTTTCATAAAGCAATGACTGTTGCAATTGGGTGTTTTAGTAAATGTTAAACTAATTTTTGAGAGACCTACCGGACCCTGACAGCGTGGGAAGGGCAATTTCTGCAGTACCTGTGAATGGCTGCAAAAAGATCTTCAGTAGTCCTTGGTCTTGCTGGCGTTGCCACTCCATCCGTCTCTTCCCCATAACTACAGCTTGGCAGAAATGAACTATTTGCTGTATCTGATTCAAACACCTCCACTATACAGAGAGAATGAACAAAACTGTCAGTCCATCATGTGAATCCAACAGGCATATAATCCTGAAACCAGACCTTGCTGCCTCTAAGGCAAAGCATCTGAGAGACTGAGTGCACCATTGTCATAACTGTGATTTCAGATCAACATTTGCTTAGGAAACTGCAGTGCATGAAATGCTTGTGTTTGGTCACACATACACAGGCAGAAGAAATACAAGAAAATTTGTATGGTTTCCACTGAAATGCAAAAGCAAAATTTACAAAGCTAACTATGTTTTCATAGCATGCTTTAATACCAGCACAGTCAGATAAAGCATCATTTTCTTTCCATGTCTGCAATGAGAAGTCAGAAAGTAATTATAAGAAATCTCATAAAATATTAATCAGATCCCTGCAACTTTCTTTAGTCCTTTAGTTATAACAACCACAAGAGGTTCTTTCCTCTACAGAATCCCACCTCAATGCTAGGATTGCCATGCTCACTCCCCAGCTGCTTTAAAACAGCTACTGTTGTATATGAAGAAGAGTCAGAGAAAAGAGACTCACCACTTTCGTTCTCTTGAGATAGGTGCCCGTCAGCATTACTGCCGCTGTCTTGGCTGCTGCCTGAACTGCTTCCTTCATCAAAAGCAGACTGCTCCTCCTGCCTGGGCTCTTCTTGAACTGGTGATGCAGCAGGCTGTACCACAAAGGCATTCGCTCCCCCTGCCTCAGAGAAGGTGAATCCAGCAGCTCCTCCCTCAGGAACCAGGCTGCCAGAGTCCATCTCGCTAGAACCGAGTCCATCTGTAAGACAATTTCTCGCCTCCTCGCAGTGTGCAAGCACAGTGTCTCTCTTAGTCGGACTTGATGTGCTTCTGACAGTATCACTCACTTCAGCTGCTTTCTCCACTGTAAGATCTAACTGTGGAGGTGGTACAACAAGGAACAGTTTAGGTTTCTTAGAAATAGGAGGTGGTTTCTTGCTTGGCAATATGACCTGAACCTTGTCAGGAGATGCTGGTGACCCCTGAAGTGACATGCCAGAAGGGAGGTCTTCACTCTGCACTGAAGACTCAGGTGTGTCATCAGTAGCTGTCCCCAGTGCATAGGCTTCAGAAGACTTTTTTAGACCTACTGCACTCACAGGCTTTTGATCACTGTCAAGCGCAGGTGTGTTATCAGAGAGAATGAGAGGAGAACCCCGAGACAGCGTTTGAACTGCATTTTTAAATGAAGTGCCTTGAGTTTTCATTTCCTCGTTGCCTAAGCTGCTACTGAGTCTCAGTGAGAGAGATGGCTTTAGGGAAGACTGTGACGATGAATTTACAGTACCCTTCTCCTCAGACATGGCTTCAGAAGCAGATTCAGGTGATGGTTCACCTTCTGTCACTTTTTTCACAGACCTCAACTGCACCATTTGCAATGCTTTGGTAGTTACTAATGGCATCACAGGTCTCGATGAGTCTTGCTTGTTGAGTGCCTGTTTCACTGGACTGTAGCAAGAATCTTCCTGGTTGCGTTTCTTAAAAGAATACTGTGGGTATATTGTTGCACCTTTTGTTAACTTGGGATCAAGAGGTGGTGCTGGTGGTGGGACAGCTAAGGGGCAAGTAGGAGGAGGAGGAACAGGGGAAGAGAATGAACTGATGGAAGCTTCTTGCTGTAACCATGGGACAGTCTGAGCAAAGGAAGAATTTACATTAGCTTCTGGTGGAGGAGGGGGGAATGTGGGAGAGGCTGGCAATGGTGACAAATCCATGACTTCTGCTGGAGGAGGAGGAGGGGGAGGAGAAAGTTCGGGGCAATGTGGAGGTGTTGAAAGAGGAGGTGGCAGAGGAGGTGCACCAGAATCTGGAGGAGGGCTCAGGGCGGGGTCCAATTTCTTCACACTCACGCTCCCTTCGGTAGATGTATTTGAAGAAAGAGAAGTGGAGGATGAAGACATGGAAACTGAAGACAGAAGAGAGGATTTCCTCTCAGGCACTTTAGGCTTCAGCTTGGATTTCCCATTTCCTGATGATGCAGGTTTTAAAAGTACAGGCACTGGAGTAAGCGCAGTGGGTGTATTGGACTGGCTGGAGTACCCACTCGATGGCGACGTGACTCGGTGGGATTTCTCCGGAGAAGTGCTCTTTGGTTTCGCCAGCCCACTGGGCACTTGTGGCACAGAAGCCCTTGAGCCATCACTGAAGTGGCTGATGCTGTAATCGCTGAGAGCAGACGATGTACTGACAGAATGGGTCACTGGGGATTTCACCTGGTCGTCTGCCACTGCGGCATAGTCGCTGTAATAGCCCCACTGGTCAGCATACTCTGACTTGATGCTACTTGTTTCACTCTGTGAGGGAGTGACTGTGCAGATGGAGTAAAGGTTTGGAGCAGTGGTGGACATCATGCTGCTGCTTGCACTGACCGAGCTTTGGCTGCGGGAGCGCAACACCCAGGGATCCTCATAATCACTGGAGGGGCTCTGGGAAGGGGAGCTGCCATTTTTGCACTTGAGATTTAACTGCAGAGAATGCTGGAGGGTGGCAATGAGGGTTTCATCAAGTACCTGTCCACTGGATTGGACTTTTTTCTTAGGCATCCTTCTGAGCGAGTCTGTTCTGGACGGTGGCAAAGGCGGTTTCTTGGCCTTTTTCAGAGAGATGTTTCTTGCAAGAGATTTGTCACCTTGGCCTGACTGGTCAACCTGCTGTTTCTTCTCCTTTCCTTCGAAGACATTTATCACACTGTCTCTGGGATTCCCAAAACCATTAGTATTATTGCATGGCATGTCTGACTTCAGCCCAGAGTCCATATGCATGGAACTGTAATAACCATCATGGTCAACAGAATACACAGAAGTAGAATCATCCCTGACTGATGTCCTCTCCAGGCTGCTGCTGCTCAGGTTGCTACCAGGAGTGGCACAGCCTGGTGTGGTACAAACCACCTTGTGTGAAGGAGTCTCACTGTTTTCTGAAGACTTGTACAACCAATGCTCTGTGCTGTCTACTGTTGCCTGTGCTCGCTCCCCGGAATAGCTAGATTCACTCCTACCATCGCTGTCCTGGGAAGGGTTTGGTAAAGCAACATTGTTCCTGCAGCTGTAGCTTGTGGTCTGAGACCCAGCCTCTGCATTCCCAGGAGTGCTAAGAGAGACAGCAGAGTCACCAAGAGAAAGCATCATGACAGTATTAGATGGGATGGTATCTGAAGTCTGTGAGTGACGTGTGGAGCTACTCTCACTCCAGTTACCACTTGAAGAGTGGTGGTCTTCTTTCCCACTTATTGCACTGCTGGTAACAGGATTGTCTCTTGGATTTGGGTAGGCAGTGGAGCTGTTTATTTTACTGTCCAATGAACCAACACTCTGGGCAGCATGAATAATGATAACTTCTGAGGAGGATGACAGTGTTGCATTGGGTATGATGCTCGTTGAGTAGGTGGCATGAGGAGAGACCACACATGCTGGGCTTGCAGACTTCTCACTATCACAGCTTCTCACCTCTTGAGACTTTGGCCTCGACAGTGTCCCCATCGTGGGATTATTCCTCAGATGCACAACGCTATCATCCACTTGCAATTTACTTATCTGGTGAGTTAAAGTGCCAGCAATGTCTTCCGTCTGCCTAGAGATGCTCTGTGTCTGGTCTAGGGACTGCAGAGATACTCTTGCACCAACTCGAGGCAAGCTGTGAAAACCTATGTCGCTATTTGGGCGAGAAGCAAATATAACTGCAGCAGAATCACTCATCACTGACATGTTTCCAGATGAGCTGGAGAACTGAGACATCTGGGCTGCAATGCCTTGTCCTTTCTGTGCTCTTATTCTTCTCATTGAAGGGGGCACAACTTTAACTTCCTCCGTCTGGCAGCTGGTGTCCTTGGTTTCCGAGCGCTGCATAGCAGAGCGATAGCTGTCTAGTCTCCCTAGTGTGGAACAGTGATCTGGGACATACATCGAATGCCCTCGGAAATCACTTTGGCCAGCGCCAACTGCTGGAGTCAAAATAAAATAATTATTTCTTGAAGCACAAACTCACATTTATCTTCTCACTCATTTAAAATCAAAACTCCCCAGCAAACTGCTTGATCCCCACGTTCCCGCAGGCTATGCCTTCTGAAGAAAAATCTGCAACAATGGATTTTGCACAAGCATTGTCTGTTTTCTGCATTTCTCTTCCCTTTTTCATTATTACCAGGAACCTCTCTTGCTTACAGAATCGTCTGTGCTCCTGCCACACATTCGACCCATGAAATCCTCTGTTTATGACATGGTAATAATTTCCATAGTAATCAGTTATGTCAGAAACCAAGTAGCACTGTTTGACTTCCAGTAGGCAATGCAGCAGGAACAGACAAAAGCCTGAGAAACGTGAAGGGTGTTCCCATGCTAATGCCTCATGCAATAAAGAAAAGGGGAAGGAAATCTGGAGACTAGTATGAATAAAAAGATCTGCTTTTTACAAGCCTTACACTTCAGAAAAAAAAATTTCAGGGAACACTGACAGCTCTCCAAGTCCTGCAGTTTGTCTGAAAGAAGGCTAACATGGAAACATGCATTGTTTTACCACAAATAATACGTACACTACAACAATACTTATATATAAACATTATACAACACTGCAAAGAAAATCATTAAATAACAGTTCTCCTTACAAATACTCTCTAGTTATCTTACAGGAAAAACTCTAAGAAGTGGGGAAAAGCTGGTACTGATGGTCATCTCATCCTCAACACCATCAGGAAACAAAAATAAGTGTGCTTTTTCTAAAAGAATGAATAACCATATATTGACAACTTTGAGGACAATGGAAAACCAGTTTTAGTTCAAAATATAATAATCGCTGGGTCGGTAGAAAGGACTCCAGGGTTCTGTTAAATTTACAATTTTATTGGTAGCAGCCTTTTAAAATCACGAACCAGAGCACTGCTTTAAAATTAGTCCGTGTAAGGCTGCTGCTTTTGAATTCAGTTGCGTTGCTGTATAAATAGCAATAGAGAGGCAGGCGTGCTGCTGGAGATGCTGGTAAGGATGCTGCATATGTCACTGCGGGGGAAAATTGGTTATTTCAAGTCTCCACCTTAGCTAGTCTCAGGAGTAATGAAGTGGCATGCCTGATAGGACTGTTCTCCTTTCGTATTTACTACAGGGAACTGCATCTGGAGGATAGGTATTCTTATCATGCAGCTTTAAACACCACTTAAAGGACATTTAATTATCCTTATTCTTGGCAGGCAAAAGAGGCATTTAGGATAAGAAAAAGAGGTCTCTGAAAACGCTACAGTTAAAGCAGCACACCACACAAAAAGGATTGTTTACTTCTTTTCTCCAGGCACATAAGTAGTCTTTTAGCAGCTTGAAGCCTAGTTAGTTTGCTTTGTGTAGACTCTCTTGTTCTCATGAAAATGCAGCCTCTTTCTGCTTTTGGTAGAGGTTTGCTAGAAAGATAGATGCTGGCAAATGTCTTGGATAATCTAATACGAGATACTGTCAGAACAGATGGATGACTGCAGCCGACCAAGAGAGGGATTTGCATATTCTGTACACAGTTATTAAGAACTGTACAGTAAGAAAAATAATTTTAATTTCCAGGTTATTTTTTTTCTACAGAATCAGTGTACATCTTTGGTTGAGAGAGAGAAAAAAGTCAAAGTAGACATTATGAATGTTTCTGGAACCATGACATCACTGTGAGCCAATTAAAAGTATCCAGTAAAAAAATCTGCATACCAAGATATATAAATAACCAAAGAGATGGGATATTTTTCTTCTTCTGTCACTGTGAAATACACACATGCACACAAATACGCACACGTAGACAAGACAGAAGGATGGGGCTGGTGGAAAACAGAGCTGTCAGCACTACAACGAGTATCTAACACTGCTACATACTGACCTGTGGCTGAGAGCACCTCACTTCAGTATGTGGTATGTCTGTATTCACAGAGGAAGTGAAACGCACTCTGTTTCACAAGTAGTGTAACGCAGATGGGTGATTTATGCTTGTTTAAAATATTACTGCTAGGGAAGGTAAATGGCAAAGTGGAATGATGCTGGACTTGCCAACCTGCCCTTTTCCTCCTTTCAAAACCAGGAGTGTTAGAATGCACTTATTGGGACATACTACTCATGGCAAATGCACAGCGAAAGCTGAAATACAAACTTAATGGTGCTGTATCTACGCCACTGAATAAAAGATGCCAATGATGGCAACGTCTTGGGGAGCAGTTCCTGCCTCATCCCTTGGCACACATGCCCCAACAGAGCCTGGAGACTGGTGGTTGGTCCCAGCTAGAGCAGTGCTGGAGGAGCACACTAAGAAGAGGGCAGCATGAACAACACACCTCAGAATGCTGCTGAGAACCAGTGCTAACCCTGTGTTACCAGAATTTATGTAATTTAGGGTCCAGCCTAATATGCTCTGGGGAACTGCATAAATTGACTCAATACCAGTAAATGTTTACAACCTCAATACTGGAGGGAAGCCTGTCAGGGCAAGTATTTGCACCAGTGAAAGATCTCTTATAATTAGAATTATTCAGAACCCAAATAAATACAGCATTCAGAGAGAGCAAGACAGCCCAGCCTCAGTATAAAATACAGGGCTATATCCTTCAATCATTTTATGGGATATGGTCAGGGAAGGGATTTTTCATGGCTGTTGTTATTACAAGAAGACGACTTTGAGGTTTTAAATATTTTTGGTAGAAATGCAGCATATTCTTAAGTTGTTTCAGCTTTGGTTTTGACTTTATATGTATGCACAACCTCATGCAAAGCTGTGAGGATTTACTTGCCCTTTATAACACAGCAATTGCTCTTTTTACTGTTCCATTTCCTGAAGAGGGACAATGGAAATCTGCAGGGGAAAATGGTTCAAAAACCAACCAAATGAACATTAAAGACTCAGGTATACTCTTAAAATGTTGACGGTTTTATGATTTTAGTGGAATTCAGAGGAGGGTAGCAAGGAGTATTTGCAATTTACAAATGCAATGTAGAACCCTAACTTGCTTCCAGAGTAATATTGAAAAGCAAGGATTTTCAAAAACCCTTAAAATCAAACCACCTTTGTTGCTACTGCAGCTAGAAAGCAAATAATCCAATTCTAAGGGCAGCTCAAACCTTTAATTGACTGATTACACTGATAATGCTATGTTTCTCAGAAAATATCTGCTTAAATAAATAGCAGTAAGAAAACAGATTTCTACAACACCAAAATTCTTGCACTGAATCAGAGCTTTTAAAGAAAAAAGTCCATCTAGTTGCAGGGGTGATGTCTGAGCAGACAGCAGTAAAAAAATACTGCAGAACTGGACATCAGGTTACAGATGCTGAACATTATGAAGTCAGAAGTGGCTGTAAATTGGTATGTGATAAATGTGGTTCAAAGTAATTGTTATCATGTCTGCATTTTATATTATCCTGTGTCCACCAGCCCTGCTATGTCCGCCACAGGGTACCTGTATCTACACTCCTTTCTATTACCCTACTATGTTGACAATATCTCCTAGGATAAATGCTCTTCCCTAACACACATGTTCAGTGTGGACTCCAGCAGCATGTGAAGAACACCTCATTATCTGGCACAAGTCAAACATGCAACATATGGAACAAGTTTTGCATGGAAGCACAGAGAGGAGGTTCAAGTGCTTACTTTAGCTCCAAGCTCTTGGTCAAAGATAGGCATATACAGGTTACACCAGTTCTCCCTGACTCTGGTAGTTAAGTGGTATTGCTCATGAGAGATGATAGGGATTGAGACTGACTGCAAATTTAACAGAAAAAAGAAAGTGTCTGTATGTAATCCCTAGGGCCAGGTACTAGCTACCAGAAGACTCCCTGTGACTCTAACTGACCTGGTGGCACCAGCAGCTTGCTGCAGAGAATCAGACAAAAGGTCCTCTGCACTGACATGAGAATAGAAAACCGAAGGTTCGAGAGGATAAACAGTACGTGTAGATATCATGAAGTACATGCTTGTTTCAACTAACGTATAAAAGTAATCTCTCTTCCCTTCTGACTAATCATTTCTAATATAAGCACTTGGCTCTTATGCCACAGGCACATTCTTTAGAATTGTTGCTCTCATTGCCTCCCCGCGCCCCACCTAGCAATCCTCCTCTAAACCTAGTAACCTGACCAAGTCACTGTGCAGGCACCACAACTTGCAGTGTTACAAAAAAACCCCCAGAGATTCTTAATCTGTTTTACCCCAGTACTTACATATCAAATGATTTTTAATAGACACCCAACAAGAAATAAGACAAGTACATTTGGCTCATGACAATTTTAAGGAAATTTTACTGTGCTCCATGAAGCATCTGTAATCTCCGAGGGGAGAAAAATATTGCAGAGAATTCTGTGATACTTTCTAGTACTGCCAGCTAAAAAATATCTTGAATGCTTGCATATATCACTGCCACTCTGAAAGGGAGAATTTTGATGAAAATATAGGCAACTTAAGTTTTCTTGATTCTATTCATTTAAATGAACAGCCTCTAGTAAAGTTTATGTTCCTGGCATCTCTGTCTTTCATCCCCCATGCATACTTTCTAACACCCTGATCTATGGATCAATAGTGCTGGGAATGTACAATGTTGAAAAACTACAGCTGTAAAACCAGTATTAGTCAAAAGGCATTGTAACTCTGAAAGAGAGATATTATCTCCAAAGACTGCTAAAGCTGCAAATTGAAGCAGGTGCAGAATTACTTGTCTGGAACAACTGGGTATATGTGCGGTATTTCTGCAGGACCGCTGGATATCTGAGACTCTTCTTACCTGTGGGACCTATAACTTGAGTGACTGCTAGTCCTGGAGGGACTAATTGGAAAGGAGTATCAATTAAGAGAAGTCTTCAGCAGAACAGGTGAGTTACCAAAAATCAGGAGGACTTACTCGCCCCCATGTTGCTGAGATGGAATTGCTTCCTCTCAGTCACATCAAAGGAGAAGCTTCAACAGTCCCAAATGATACCTGAGACACCTACTGGTACCACCAGGGTCTGACCTGCGTTGCAAGAAAGCAAATGAAGGACTGACAGTTAAGGTGTCAGTCATACCCATCCTGAAGACTGACACCAGATTCTATAGGTAACAACTCCTTGTGAGCCACTGAAAACGTGAGGTAGGGAAATAAGCTGAAGAAAACTGTATAAGGTCATTATTCTGACCCTTTGAACCCTTAGGTTAGTAAGAAAAAAAAAAAGTAGATCAGGGAAAAAATCACAGAGCCAAAAAAACTATGAATTACATCTTAAGATGGAAAAAAGTATTTAAATAATTCAAAGAAAGTACACATGAAACATAAAATTAGAAGACATTTTTCAAACCCAAGAGGACAGAAACTTTCTGTTTGATTAAAGAGAAGCAAAATGACTGTCAGAAGAAGAATAAATCAAAAGGTGGAAAAGCTGAAGATGTTTTCCTCTCCCCCACTTTGGTGAGGTATGTTTATTTGGAAGTTGAATTGTGGTGGAACTGATACTCAAGTCTGGGACCTGCTCCTCCTGCAAGACAGGGATGGAGTCTGGGACTGCACTGGTGCGGAGCTCTGGAGAAACACAGTCAGGTAACTTGGTACCTTCACAAAAAGAAAGTTAGTCTGAGCCAAACCCTAGAGCACTGACACAGAGAAGGGCTCACGGAAATGTGAAGGCACTTTGCTGCCTTTGTTTCACCCAGAGAGTTGAAACGTGTGAAGGGAGCTGATGATAACCAAGAGCCAAGAATGAGCAAGGCCTGCAACAGCTTTTCCCAGAGAGGTGCTCATCTCTACCAAGCTTCTGTTTGGGAATCATCTTCTTGCCTGAGGGGATAATACAGGTTTGCATATAAGGTACCATCCAAAGACAGCTAGAGGCGATGGATAATGGCAATACAGAGCAGAGAAACTGAGAGCACAGAAACTTGAAGTATAACATAATCTCAAAGTTTCCTGCCCTTTTTGCAGTTTTGATCCAACACTGACTCCTATTAAATATGTATACAATATTTATGTTCTGTAAGACAATGAAGGTAATTCAAAAGTATGCAAAACTAATTTTTTTCATTGTTGTGTTTGGCAGAAAGAAGAATGCTTTGCCTTCTCCTCTTACTTTGGCGTCATCCTGCTAAATAGTACTGAGAGGGTCCTGCTGTTAAAAAACAACTTCAGAAAATAACTGCCATCTCTAAACTAGTAGACATCTCACATTCTTACTCTGTCTCAGAATCCCATCTATCACATTGCATTTTATTTATGCAGAATTTTGTATGCAGAAGTTTCCAGCCTATGCAGACAGATTGGTTCATCGCTGGAAGACACCTGTGAAAACACAACTGTATTACAACACTAAAAAGTAGAAATGTTTAAAGATACTTTCAGCACATGAGTGCAGTTACTGTCTCCTTTCAGTATGTCTGGCTGAATTCTACTAGGGTACCACGTCCACTGACCTCAGGTCAGCAGTCATGCAGGCTCTCTCTTCTGTTTGGTCTTTTCTGTTCCGAAGGAGCCAAAGCAGCCAGGGGAGAACCCCAGCAGCTTGGCCTGGCAGAAGTTCTTCCAGGCTCTCTCACAAGAAATAAAAATAGTTCAAGCCTAGTTGAAGCTTTGAGGTTCTCTCAAGTTTCTGCTTCCTTCTGAAGGATAAACAAGAGGTAACAAGAATGTGCTGTATGTGTTGGTTATTTAGCCTGCACGCAGCAACTTTGGTGTACCAAGGGGTTTTAATCTTTGTGTAAATATTATAACCATTCACAGCAATGCTTTAGGGGAGAAACAAAGAGATTTATTCAGCTGAAACCACAGGGAGAATGTCAATAGGCATAATGCAATTGCTTGATTTGGAGTTTAGTCCAGATCCTTGTTCCGATCAAATGAACTGTGGAATGTTTTAAAACAACTCGTTGTTTGTTTTGGGACAGTGTAAGAGAAATAGGGAATGGACTACTACAGAAATATTTCTGCAGTGACAGGGGAGAAATGGCAGAAAGAACACTGAACAGGGATGAGGGAGACCTAATTTATTCCCAGCCTTGCCAGTGGCCTGGTGGGTGACTCTGGTTAAGTCACTTCACTGCAGCACGCCTGGTTTCCTCATGTATCAGATGAAGACACTATCACTCTTTTCAAGTGCACTTTGTTTCTAGTGGTAGAAACCAACATGCTATCAGGATGGATACTGCCATGACAGATTTCTCCTGGCATACATTTTGCTGTCTGGAAGACCTACAACCACCACAGAAGCAACATGAAGTTCCTCAGACAACTTCTGCCATAGGGCACGTGGTTGAAGCCCTATGTGCCGGCAGGTTGTGGGCTGGGGAACCATCCAGAGAGCTCCTGCAGCATGATATTGCCAGCCCTGAGATTTCCACAACTTAAAACAGAAGGCGAGGAAAATCTTCAAGCAGCGCAGCATGAAACGTGCTCAGCACAGAGATGAAAGACCAAAATCAAGACATAAAACTTGTCACTCTTAGTGAGCAGATTGGCAAATGCTACGAAATTCTTTTAAGATATTAACTGAAGAATTCTTTTTAGGATAGATGGCAACTGCAATCTCAGTTTACTCCACCAAGTAAAACTACAGTTGATGTTTTCAAGCATCAAACATCTGTCTGAAGTGGTCACAAATATAATCTCTCAGTTTTGTAAATGTTTTCTTGAGGCAGAGGATTCCCATGGCAGGGCACTCTTTCATTACAGATGCCAAAGGAGCACAGTTCCACTCACAAACTGCTCTTCAAGTAACTGTTTGTTTCTTGGTTTTCTCTATGCCTGGCCCTCTAGCTCATTTCAAACCCATCCAGACAAGTTACATATTTTTGCCTCTCCTTTTGAAAAATCTAGACAAAGAACAAAGAATTGAAACCATAATTAAAAAAGAAATGGATGCAAAATGCAAGGTAGTAAAACTTACAGAAACCATCAATATATGAGACAATTTCACACATATAGCACCAAAAATTATGTTCTGCTACACTATTTTAAAAGACATTCTTCCTCTACCAAAAAAAAAAGAGGGGAGCATAATTTGATCTGTGAAGTTATCACCTGGGAAAAACTGAATAACTAAATTAACTTTTTAAAGAATAAGCAAAAATGACCAGATTTAAATCAAAGAGTTCCGCAAAAAGTGTCTGAAAGTTCTGCCAAAATTCAGACTGCTTCATCAGCTTTGAATTTATGTCTGCTACTGTGTGTGAAAGAGAACTGTCTGAGGTAGCGTAAATGTGACTGAGTAGGTATTTTTCCTTTGGAATATATGCAATAGCTAATAAGCCCGTGTAAATTGTTTCCAATCAAATAACATTGATACTTAAGGAGTCGCCAATTAAAACTGATCAAAACTGAACTGAAAAATAAGTCTTTCCCTCTTGATGCAACTTTCGGCAGATTCAGGAAGTAATTCTAAGTAATTATTCTCATAAAGTAATTAATTAATAAGTAATTCATTCTAAGTAATTATTCACAAGCCAAAATGCCTGCTTACTTCAGTTTTGCTTCAGTGAACATCTTGGAGAAGAGGACCAAATCTCAAGGAAAGCACTGAAGTCCAGAAATCTTACATCCCTGCAGATTTTCATTGTACCAGTACCTCATTTTCCAAACACCCTATTCTCTTTAACAGATGGAAGTCAACAGATAAAAGGTCTCAATTTCCCAATGCAAGAGGTGGCAAGGAAGCACAGGCGTATTTGGAACTGTAATAGGCTATCAGACTGTATTGGTTTCATGAGCACTGGTAATGTTATTAGTCGAGTAATGATAAGCAGTGACAATGAACAGTGGATGGAATACAGTTCTGATGAGCCATACCTAGCTCCTTTTGTATGTTGTCAGGGATTCCTGTAATAGTCTTTCTCCTTTTGACTTTCTTCGGCCGTCTTACCACCGTGTCTGTGTAAATTAGAGACCGCCGAATGCTGGCCTGGCGGTCGAAATTCTCCCCTAATACATGGTAGAACAAGCAAAGCAACATTACTTCCAAGCACACTGACATGCACTTTCTTCCACTAGTTTCGTTGTAGAAATGGAAAAAAAGGCATTAATAAATGATGTTAGCTTGGTCCTACAATGAAGGTTTACACTGAAAGAAGATATGGCACATTGTCACAGTAAGGCTTTAGGCACAAATATCCACTACTACAGCACTACATGTTTTAAAAGGAATTTTGACTTCCTGAGCCCGGTTCAAATTTGGTGAGATCAGCTCTAATTCCACAAGCAAACAGACTCTTTGCTTTAATTTGGCCCTTTAGAGGTTTTTGGAAGGTTTTGTTATTTTATTTTGGAGTAATGAGCTGCAGAAAAAGCAAATCTGCTCATGAAAATGAAAGATCACAATGGTTTATGGCAGGAACAGACATTGCTATTGGCAACAGCTATTAGGTCTTTGCACAGCTCCATCATTAAATCACATGAGACCCTTCTTTTTCATTTCAAGTTGCTCTGAACCTGTCAAGTGTACCACATTTCTGGTGGTGATCTTTTAACATGAATACAAATAAGTACTATGGATCATGCAGAGATCAAACTGATCTTGTGGACTCATAAATATTTCAGAGTGAAAGCTGCTTAAAATTGAAACTTTACAGACGATTATAAAAATAAACAATGCCAAGAGCTGAAAAAATGTGTCTAAGTGCATGCTGCCAGACAAAGCCTTACAATGACCATGTGCTGTATCGTAATGGGACCCAGAAGCACCACTATCATTAAGCAGCTTTTCTTTAGGAATTCACTTCTGTTTAGAGGTTTATAATTTGGCCATTTTACTAGTAGTAAGATAAACCTTCCCTACAGACTCTGAGTTAATTAATTCTCTGTCACTTCTAAAAATCTAACAATGACCCCCCACAGGTCACTTTCCTTTTTAAAGGAAAGTACTGTTAAATATCCTTTAGATGACCCTTTTAAAAGTGAAAGGTAGAAAAAAACGTGTATATGCTTTTTACCTTTGTACACTCCTTTTGAAAATCGATGACCAAATTATTTACCTCTAAAAAGTGATTAATGCACAGTAACAAATATGTCATAAATATTAACCCTGGTTGACTGCACATCTGTATGATGTGTGTCATGAACATAGCATAGAAAATCTCATTACCTCTATAACAGTTAAAGATACCGTCACATATTAAAGTATAGCATGTGGACTGGAGAAAAGGCAAGGAAAAAATGTAGTGATTTCATTCACTATGTTGTTAATACAAAGACTGACTCTGTTCGACCATAGCCTTGACCATGAGCTGCAGTTGTGCTAAGCAGATCCTTGCAGCTACAAGGAAGTGCCAGTTTCATCTGACTTTTGGATTGATTGAAGTCAGGGTAGATGAACAGAGAAGGAAGCTATATGGGATCTATAAAATTTAGAATCATTGATCCCACTGGCTTCGTAGAAGCCCTGAAATATTGAGACAGACTATCCACTGGGGACTACGAGGATGTTAGGACCCATCTGTGGCCAGGGTCAGGACATTAGCTTATTCTGCATGGCACACTATAACAAATCTAAAGAATTTGAAGGAGAAAGTTTTGCATCTCTGAACATATCTTTATCCATTCAAAGGCCAACAATTATGCCTGAGATGGTGATATAAGTGATAATTAGAGGGTGCAAACAAGGAGCGAGTCTTTTATATGAAGCCTCAGACAGCACAAACCAGATGGCCATAGGGAAATGTTGCTGATCCACAGTAACTTCTTCCAATGAGTTACCTAAGAGCTAACCCAACCAATCTGTCTTCAACGGATTTTGATACACAAAGGGCACTACACAAATTTGTAGAATTTCAAAGTAGCAGCTTCAATGAAATCCAATAAGCAAAATCAGAATGTCTCAGTCTTTTTTTCCTTCTTCATTTTGTTTTGGAAAATATCAATGTTAATGTTAAATATGTTTTACAGATATAAGAATACTTTTCTCCTTCTGTTACAGGTTTGTCACAAACCGACTAGGTGTTCCTTATCCTCTTTACTCAGTTGTCCCTCAAGTAGTACACTGTTTTCCTTGGATTCACTGAAAACATTTAAGTGCGCTTAAATCTCACTGAAGTCAGTTAAGCTGGATTCAAGCAAATGCTTAAATGTTTTGCAGGATCCAGCCTGGCACTGAGCACCTCCACCATTATCAGACTCCTCCATGTGTAAAGAAAGTTAGTTCTGGAAAACCCACAAGAACAGACACCATTATACATCTTTTAAGCCACAAGATATGTAAAAGCAAAGACTGGCCACCGCTGAAAATTCAGTCCAACCCCTTCCAGGTCAGAATAAAGTTCAGCCCAGGCACTCCCAAAGACTGAAACTACTTCCAAATCTGGATGTCTAGCCAGCAACTTGTCAGCCTAATGCAATGCCCCTGCACCTTCAGGCTATCCAACAGATTTTTACGACTACTATATTAGTTGCAATCTGTTCACCAAAGAGCCCCAAAACTGAACTGATGTAGCATTTATTGCACAGCCACGTGAGAGGCCATTGTAGGAGAATCATTACTAATGCACTGCTGAAAACGTTATCAATTGCCAGCGGGTTATTGCTGGCAATTGCTTCAGAGGTTAACCTTTTATTTCATGCCACAAGTAATAAATTGGAAGTTTTCTGAACTCTCCTCTGGGAGAGCAAGAAAAAGAGTATGTGAAGGAAAAAGCCAAATCAAAACAAATATCCTCAATGGTTTGTTCCACGGCACATTGAAAAAACAGCACAGAAGTTTTCGTCAGTTTTTTTTCTGCCTCATGCAGTAACATAAGAAACTTCACAAAATAAAATTACTCAGTGTGTGGGAGAGCAGAGGAGGGGAGCAGATTGTGACTTTTTAAAGAGGAACAAGGACAGCAGCTTTTTCTGTATGTTGTGTGTGGTTCATGTTGTTTGCCTTGTTTCACAGTAGCAATATAATTATTTCAAGGGAAAAGGAATGGTGGATCCTGGAGACCAGTCCACATGCTGCAACAGCAGTCTTCCTTTACTGCCCTCCTCTTCTATCTGTTCCGATTATCATGCTTATAAGGGAATAAATGCTCAACCACACACTCCAGAAAGGTGAGGCATAATATGCACGTGCACCATTCCAATCAGGAAAGTTGGGAACCGCTGAGTTTTTTGAGTGCTAGCTGAACAATTCAGGGGACACAAGGTTTGCTACGCCAGCTGAATTATGCTGGTTGAAGTCACAAGCGTAATTTATCCAAACACGGTAGGTAACATTCCCAATGATGCTGAATTAAATCTATCAGCTATTTGATCCTTTTACCTCATTCTTCTTTCCATCTGTTTACTTCCCCCCTATATTTTGCGGTACACAGGGTCATTAAGTCAGACAGCAGATTACTGTTTCTCTAAATATACCCTGTTCCTGCTGTCACAATATCTAAACCCTACTCAAGCTTATTGATTATGTCAGATTATCCATTGTTCCCCTAACTCGGCCTTCTGCACCAGTATCCTAAATTCCCTATACAATGCCAACTGGCCCAGTAACATTTCAGCACTGCATTTATTTTCCTTCTATTAAATTTCCAGACATGGGGTGTTCATAATTTTCTATTGTCTTCCTGATGTTTATTTCTAATATTTTCTGCTATTTAAGTAAACACTTCTAGTTGATTTCTCCAAGCTTGCTAATGTTTGTTACGGAAGTCCTGCTCCTGTACTATTAAAATATTTAAATACTATTGAAGAATACTATTTAAAATACTAGTTTATAAAAGTACAGGTGAAAAAGACAGGGAAAGAGAACCTAATTTACTTTCAAAAGAAAGTCAAACATTGCAAGTTATTGATTGTCAGAGTAAGCGTGGAGTCAGAACGTGCCATATGGCATTTGAAATAAATTGGATGTTGAGTATCATCCTGGTTTTGGCAGGCAAGCGGTCAGTTATTTGAATTAACTAATAATAGACAATCTTGATGCTGTGCAGAAAAAGAGGGGTTATTAAATTGAAGGGATAATTCTATCTTTCACAGAAAGTCCATTTTACACACAACAAAGTATCTCTTCAGCATTAGGCTTTAACGTAATTTAACTTCAACAGAGTGAGAGTTCAGCAACTGTAAAACCAAAGAGCATTTTCAAAATGAATACATAGTTCATAACAAGAAAATGTGGACTATGGTTATGTAAGTGGAGTGTCTTACCGAGACTCTTGCTCAAAGGTGTAGCCTCATTAACTTTTGCTGTTCTAACCTTACTCTCCTTGATCACTAAACCTCTTGTTGCAGATAAAAATAAGATCCAAGAGGTTTTTTCTTGATTTTTGTAACATTTAGTCTTTGGAATACAGAAGTCCCTGATAACTTTCCTTATATAAAATTCCTAGAAGAAAATCCTGAAATATCATTAGCATCGGATAAAACATGATTTTCCGTTACATATCCTCAGTGCATTCCACAGCAAAATAGTGCTATTTATCAGTCCTCTTCTTGTATTTCATGAATGTCTAATGCCGTTTCAAGCCCACATAGTGTAGACTATCTCCATTAATGATAATTTTAAGGGATTTTGACATTTTCTAATGAAGTTCAGAGACACTATTTAACGCAGAACACTGTTTTCACAGAAAGGTGTAGTCAGTAATTTAAAATTCACACATCAAATATACAAGTGTCAAAATACTAGCCAACTGTATGGATCCCCTTTTATTCCTTCCCTCCCTCATCAGTGTAATGCAATTACTGAAATTAAAAGCCTACCAGTCACATTAATAGGAACCACATCTGTTTGAACGGCCTGTGCTTGTTGTCGCATTTTCTCTTCTGGAGTTGGCAGTGGGAGTGACTTAGTCCAGTTGGTTTGGGTGTTGATATCTGATAACTCATTTGAAGCTGGACTTTTAGGCCTTTTGATGGTAATAAGCTTTTCCTCTTCAGGGGGAGAGACAGGACACTACAAACAGAAATACATGCAACAATGTAAGTTTATCACTGCTAAAGAAAAGTAGAACTATGGTATTGCTAAGGTGTTGCTGCTGCAGTCGGCACAATTACTTGTGGAGCAAAACACACCCTTTCAAATATCACACTTCGACCTACATAAAGAGCAATTTTAAAAACATGTAAAAAAGTAACACACAACAAAATACCTAGATTGTATTTATTCCAGGCATCTGACCAGTTTAAGGAATACATACCAATGAGAGAGAAAAGAGTGATCTCGAGCATAGCAAAGCACAGTATATTACCTTACACATTGACTAATTCTTGGAGTGATGAACCCCTCTCTCCCTGCACCCAGGTTTGCCTTCCTTTCCTCTTTCACCTCCCCGTGCCCTATTAGGAAGACGAGATTTGAGCACTGCTTTGCTCCAGCTGCACTAGGCTGTAAGGATACAAAAGAAGCCTCTCACTTTATAGTAGAGCTCAGTAAAAGAGCCAATCAACACAGTCCACAAAACCATCAGCCTTTGATCAGCGAGGTAGCAAGAATAACTTTGGTCTTGGAGAAACTTGCCACAGTTCAAGGGGTTACCTGTTTTTCAGAGGTGAAGCAGTTAACATTACCAGTAGCCACAGAGTGGTCATTTTAAAAGTCGGTCCTTCTCAAAGTGGCAGATTTCTATTTTGTGATGTGTTTTACTTCAAAAGAAACCCAACCAACGAAACAAAAAACTTTCTGCACCACAAAGAGTGGTTGCAACAGCTTGTGCAAATCCCTCCGCCAAAGTTAAAAGCCAAAAAAGCCATTTCCTTTTGGGGAGAAAATCTGTTTTCATTACAAGGTCCTTGCCTGCATGCCAGTAATGGCAGAGAAAGCCATAATACAGCTTTTTACTGACAGGACAGTACTAGTCCATGACAAACACTGAGGGCAGGCAGATTCAGGGCACACAGAAGACATTGCTGGGGCTTCTCACAAGTGGTCCTAAATGCCAAGTAAATCCAAGAGAATCAGCCTTCTCTCCTCCCCACTCCTGCCAGCTAGGCACTCCAGGGAATTTCAGAAGCAGGAGAGGAAGGAAGACCTGAAGGAAAACCAACCTCAGTCTCCTTCTGCCTCCAGGCAAAACAAAAGAGAAGAAAACCATGGAAGAGGAGTTGCACAGCAGCTGCAGCACTAGCAGAGATCTCTGCTGACTCCTCTGCTTCAGAGGTGTTGGCTTTGGGACCTCCCTCCCTACCACCAGACCAGAATTACAGTCCTTCCACCCTCTTTTCTTTATTCCTCTCTCTTTTTGGAGAGCCAAATACTACTTGAAATAGGATTGTCAGTACCAAACCACTTCTTCTCCCTCTCTCACTGCTGTACACAGGCAAGGAAAGAAAGATTACAGCTATTTATAACAGATGGATTTTTTTTTTTTAATTGTTGTGGGTGTTCAGTCTAAGCGATCTGTTTTCTCTAGAAGCTGAGAGCTATACAAAAGACATGCCCAAACACTGTGCCACAAACGCTGTTTATCGTTTCTGATTTTAATTTTCTTCCTGTTACTACGAGGAATTCCCAGTGTTTATAAATAAATAACCATTTATTTATTCTATTATGCTTTGACTCTACATCCTTTAGGACAGGGTTGAACATTTCACTTAATGGAAAATAAAAATAATAGCAACTTGCAGGCAAAAAGTAAAAGAATGGAGAAGTAAAAGCTCTTCAGGCAATACTAAAAAAAAACATTGTAGGCAATGAAATTATTACTAATGTCATCCTGTCTTTTGGAACCACACTTCAAAATATGGGAGCTTTTCTTCAAAGAAATAATCCATTTCTAGCAGACTTGAATTTCTTTATCAGAGAGGCTGTGGATGGGATAGATGCTGCTGTGTAGGTAAGGGCTCAGCCCTGTGGAAGACCCAGCAATTTTATCAATGCAACCCTCTTAAAGGACATCAGTATTTTTTCAGGCCTCCACTGTTTCTAAAAGGCTCTAAAACCCATTTCTTTACAATAGGATGTGAATGTTTATCTTCTTATGAGTGTGCATACCTAGACTGTTTATACAAGTACATGGTGTAGGCGCACATGGATGTACTGACACACAAACACAAGGGCTTTCCCACCTCAAATCACTCAAACTCATAAAGACCTTTATTAACTTAAGCAATTTGGGATAGAAACACCATTGCAAAAGAGAAAGCTGCCTCCAGGTCATGCTTTCCCACAGATAGGTTTAAAAACTGAGAGAGAGAGAGAGAAAAAAAGCATGCAAAAGGGTTTGTAAGGAATGTGGCAAAGGGGTGCCAGCCCAGTGTCACAGCAGAGTAATCAGGGGTTGAGGTAAAGAAATACTGCTTTCCTTGTTCTGCAATGAGCTTTTTTCCACCTGAACTGGAGCACCAAGGGAGACACCTCCAGCCTGGTTTTGCAGTTTGTCTGCGGTCAGAATGAGCTCCAGTGACCTTCAAATACTCTGCTTGGTTGATACCATCAGCATCAGTATCTGTCACCTTCAAATTGTAGTGCAGTGCCAGGTCTCAGCTAACATACAGCAGTCACAAGGGGTTACTCCAGTATGTCAAGTGGCAGAGACACCGGCTACAAAGCCACCTTTCCTTTTCAAGGAAATTACCCAAGACAAATAGAAGACCTTTTTCTTGTTACGGTATATGAAAAGATAGAAAAACTGAAGAAGTGAAGCACCTACTACAAGGGAATACTAACTATCCAAAGAAACGCGTAACATCAATCACAAATTTTGCAGAATTAAAAGTTGAGAAAACTGGAGATAGATGGTATAAGACGGACAGAAATGAAACCAACCAGTGAGTAAATAACCAATGAGAAGGAACTGAAAACCCAGTTGCGTAGCTGAGTTCAAACCAGTGTGTGAGAATGACCTTCTGCCAATTGTGTAGTTGAGTTCAAAGCAGTGTGTCAGCGAGAATGACCTTCTGCCATAGGACAGAGATGTGCGCTTTTACAAAATAATTCAATAAAAGGGTTGGAGGTGTTTTTGGGTGTAGGAATAAGTGTTCATGTTTGAATTATAGGTAGGTTTTCCATGGATCCTGAAGAAACATGACTGTCTCTGCTTACGTCCCTTCTTCCAAAATACTCTCAAGTGATAGTAGTATAGGCATGACAAAGGCATACACAGCTTTACCGCACACAGAAGAAAGCAGCAGCTCATCTTTCAGCTTTCTTCAGACAGAAATTATTTACCTCTATAATTAGGATGAAAATCTACAGGGAAAATCCCAGGGTTTCACATATTTTTGGCAAACATTTCCAGATTTACAGCCCAGAAGTTTGCTGGAAGATGAACTACTGCTGTGTCACAGGAATGTCTCCTCAAGTAAGGTCTGTTACACCAGAAGTAGAATTAGGCAGTACCTTGAGAATATGTATCTGCTTAGCAAAGCTGATCATAAATTCTATGTTCATAATAGAACAGAAAGTACCTGTCCCATTTTTAAAGCATCTCTGACTCACGGTAACTTACTGTTTGACTTAAATGGCCAAATTTCTGTGCTACAGGTGTTGTTACACTCATCTCTGCAGGAAAATTTGTTGAAATTCATTCTTTTTCATGGACATGGTAAAAAGGAAAGGTGGGGGGTGTAAGCAGCATTCTTGGACCCTGCAGTGTTTCCACAAATATGCCATCATCATCATGGCTAGGTTTCGCAAACGAAGATTTAGGAAGGTTCTACCCACGTTTGTTACAAGCATGCTGCTGGTTTATGAGGCCAATACGAGATAGACATGTCCAGTTGCAAAAGGCACAGCAGAAAGACTCCTTAGGTGGTATATTCTGCAAGACACGATTCTTTCTGCCTTGTCTTTTCTCCTCGAGAGTCATCCTGTGTGTGTTCTCAAAGGAGACAGCTGCGTTATAGGTGGTGTGTCTCCAGACCTCCCGATTGGAGGCCAGAGTAGACCACTTATGGTGATCAATATGGCTGAGGTTGAGATGTTGTTTCAGGGAGTCCTTGTATCTTCTCTTCGGGGCTCCTCTCTTGCGGCAGCCGGTGGCAAGTTCACCATAAAGCAAGATCTTAGGGAGGTGGTGGTCCTTCATCCTGGAGACGTGCTCTGCCCAGAGCAGCTGTGTTCTCAGCAACATGGCCTCAATACTTGTGACTGCTGCTTGTTCTAGAACAGATGTATTGGTCACATAATCTGACCAGTGGATGTTTAGGATTGTCCACGAATATGCATTAGAGGGGAAAAAGCATGAACTTTCAAATGGGAGTTAAAATTAGAATCCAGGAGAAAAATGGCCTATAAACATCCTATAGACAAGCTATATGGCTCAATAAGCCAGAGCCTCTCCAACGCCTTGTTGATATACTGTCCCCCAGCCAACTCAGCTGCCAAGATACAACAAAAGAGTTTCACTATCTCAGCACATTCATGCTACTTGAGAGGTCCCAGATGACAAATCAGTTTATGCTATGTATCTCTGCCTAAATAATCTGTTTATTCTAAATATTTTTTATATTCCAAGGGCTTATACTATACTCTTTGAAAAAAGATGGGACCTCCAAGAGGAAAATTCAATCCGTACAAATTCTACTTTTCAGCAAAGGGACTTCAAACTTTTAGTCATGTCATTTACTCTCCTGTCTACTACAACTGTTTATAAAATCATAATTTCTCATAAAAACAAAATAGAGAAAAAAATCAGTGTTGGAGAGAGCAGCCATACCATTTCAGCTGTCTATTATGTTTGTCAACATCCTATTTCTGCTCCACTGTTTTACTAGGTTTGATGGCTTCATGCGCCATTTTCTCAATGCAAAGGGATCAGGACAAACAATAACAGGGAAAAGAAACCCAAGACCCAAACCTGGTCAACTGAGAATGGCACTTCACGTGCCTAATTCAAAACATGGGATTTCACACTGTGTTACGAAACACAGTGTTATATATGTTATGGTTATATATTTACATGAATTTACACTTAACATGAATTAGTCATGTCTTGCTCTATTTTGTGTCCTCTAGCCCAAGGTCACCAGCCTGGTTCCCCCAGTTTTCATAGAATATTCCATTCTAGTACTTCTACACACAGATCTTCAGTTGTACTAGCCAACTTCGCTATCCTACTAAATCCTTCATTTCATAACCATCACTGTCTCAGTAAGGAAGGAATTCTTTTGTCAGCAGAAATCACTGACTATCAAGCAAGTTATCACCGTAACCGCAGAAATGTTCCTTTCTTCTTCCTCTACTCTGTTGCAACAGGATAAAAACTGTAAGAACAGCTGTACTGTTTGGAGCTCTAAAAGCCTATCTAGTATCTGCCTTAAAATAACGACTAATCAATGATATACAGGTGAAATTTAAATCAGAGGATGGAGTCCTCCCCCTCCAAGAATGTACCCACTTGCTTTCTAAATCCATGTAAACTTTCAGCATCCACAATTCCTGCAGCAGCTGCACAGTGTGAGCATGTGATGAGTGAAGAATTACCCCCTTTTCTTTGTTCAAAGATTTTCTGTACTCATTTCCTTAAGCTTTGGCATTTCATGCATTACAAGCTGCTGTCCCAACTCAGTAAACTGAGTAGCATTTAAAAGAAAACCCTTGCAAATGGTATAAAATACATGTGTTGCTTACAAGAGCAACGCCATGCAACTGCAGCAGAGGGACAGGAAGGACAGCTGAGGACACCATCACCACCACCCAGAGGTATCTTCAGCTCTGCTAGACCCAAGCCTCAGGGCTCCTGGGCATTCCCACCTCCAAAACTGAAGCACCCAACTGCTTTAGCTCCTCTTCACACCAAGCAAAGTTTTGGATTAGACCTCCTCAAGTCTAATGCAGTTAGCACTGAATTAGTTGTTTTCACTTAATATACTAAACAGTCTCTTGCAGATATTGCAGAGTTTTATAACAGATTAGCTGAGCAGAGTGGCAAAAATATACTTTGTTCCCCCATGAATAAGCAAAATAAATATTTTTTTCACCCAAAGTGTAACAGACTGTATCAAGGCAAAGTTCGTAAGCCAAATGACAGGACCTAGGAAAAAATACCGTGAGTTTTTGGCACACAAACATTTTCATGGATAGAATAAAGACAATATACTGCATTCCTGGGAGCAGGTACTCTTTAGCTCACATTCGTCAACTAAGAAAAATACATTCCTCCAAACTAGTAGAGTTTTTCCTTGGCTAATTAAAAACCAATGACGCAGCCAATTAAATAAAACACAGTTTCAAAGGAGGCAAATGTTAATAGACAAAAAGGGAATAAAAAATTCAGCAAAGCAAGTAAATACAGGATACTGTTCTGCAGACAAAAGGGAGTAGAGACAAAAATAAAGGAAACAAACCTGGCATGGCACTCTTCTGTTGAGCAGCTGACTTTTTTAATTGCCTTTTTTTTAAGCAGAAAAAAGAAGCAGGTAATGACTGAAGGCTAAGAGCAGAGTAAGACTGCATATATACTAAACACTACAAGAAACATCAAGCTGCAGATATGGCAGCTGGATGGTCCCACTCATGGGCAAGGTACCTTGTTGTTCCAGGGAACCAAGTTACAGCAGGCGCTAATGCAAGACTGAGAGATGCAGTCTAACAGACTAGACTGTTGAGTGAGACAAAAAGAAATAAAGAGAATGAGTGGTAAAAAGGGAAAGATAAAAGAATAAGAAAAAAAACACACAAAAGATAAATACTGTTAACATACACAATGTATACATTTCAGAACATAAGGAGAACTAGAGTTTGAAAGCGACATTTCAATATATCTTTTACACTGTTAAAACAGAGCAGTACTGAAGGACAGGAATAGCTCCCAAGCTGTGTAACCAACAGTGGTATGAGATGAGAAAGGAGGAGACTGGTCACAGCACTCAGATGTAAAATCCAGGTAAACCAATTTAATCACCAACAAACTCAATTAGAATCAGTACTACAGTGAAACTTGGCCTGTGCTCCATTAATCTAGAATCAACATTAAAAGTAAAAGGGTAGTTTCAAGAACTTAATGTTATATCAATTACCATTCAGATACTCCAACTTTCTGTGTTCTCTAATTCTGTTTGCTCATTTTTGAGTAGGACCTGCTTCTCCCTATTGGTTTTCCCTTAGAAAAGCAAATGTTCTGCTTACCTTAGACATTTTCTAAGACTCACACTGAACCAATGTGCTTTGTGGCATGACTATTACCCTCTGCTGACAGACATCCACCTCCACAAAACCTGAGAATGCTTATGGATTGAGGTCTCCTCTCATATCACCTAGACATGGCTTCATATTGTCTCTGGTGTAGACAGACAAGCAGAATATCTGGCTATGGGGTTTTTTTTAGAAACAGATTAAAAAAAGTAGGGAAAGATGGTTTCCTTTCTGAAGCCACCATGCAGTAACACATTGTTTTTTCTACAAGTTGGCAATTATATCAACTAAGAAGTAAGTTTCCTAACAGTAAATAGCTATTCATCAACCCATCATTATTCTGCTGTTCTCAAATTTCAACTATTAAGTGCTGCATGCACAGAATTTAAATGTTGGCTTTTCGGCTTTGAATAGACAATAAAGCTACAAAGCTTTCATCTAGTGGTGAGGAGTTCACATTTTGAATCACAGGATTTTTGGTGACCCCAGTTCCACACTGTTACTGAAGAACTCTCCTGACAGCTGAAATATGACTCGAGCAAGGCGTAAGACTTATTAGAATTACTGGCACTTTACCAGGAGGATAATAATTCAAGTTCAGAAATCTGTTGTGGTAAACGTTCGTTTAAAAAAAGAGTAGACCTTTTGCTGTTACAAAAACAAGAAAAAAAGCGCCAATTAAACAAAGATACTGGTCAAAGGACTCCACAAAACACTGAGTTATACAACATGAATGGAGAATCATGCTACAGTTTACAAGGAATTAATATCTTTCTGAGCTGCAAGTAAGAGTGGCAGGGTTAAGGTTCTGAGATAATCAGTAACAGTCAAGACAGTCAGTTTGGCAGCTATCTTTCTCCACAGCTCTGAATCATCCTTTCAACTAAAAATATTTAAAGGAACCTATTTCAAATTGAAATGGAAGTGCTATCCTACCCTTGAAGCATACTAGTTGGATTATTTTTTTCCAGAATGCACAGAAATTGTTACTAACACATTAACACTCAAAAAACGCTTAACCATGAAAAGGATGACAGCTTTTAGTCTCCAAGAGTCCTCATGCATGCTTATATGCTTTCATTCAAATTGTCAAAGAAAAGTGTATTTATATTTTTTAAATGTTGCATTAGTTTTACATGTGCAGATGGTTGTCTGCTGCACAGCACTGGCCAAAACCAGTCAATGACATATATACATGCATATATGTGCAGTACATTAATAGCAACAAACAATGTGTTAATACTTTCCCCAGTGGAAATTCTACTGATTTCAGCAAAGTTTTGCAAATTATCATTATAATGCATTCCACAGTATGAACGTGCTTTACATTCTCGGCTCACTGCCAGTACATACCACGAACAGCTAAACAAGATGCTCTAACATTACCTGCCAATACCCAGATAAATGCAATCATCACCTGAATGAGAGACTGTACATATTCCACAACACCTTTTATTATGTGATTAAAAGCCATAGAGGACAGAACTGAAAAAACTGTACCCTTTAAAGTGCGTTTTCAGGGTCTGCACGTTTTGCTGAGAGAGTTATTTGGTCCATACTACAGAGGCACATACGGTTTAGTAACAACTCAAAAAAATTAGACTGTGTTACAACCACGGATATCCTCCCATTCTCTAAGCAACAGTAGTTTCTGGCAAACTATTCTAGAATATCTATCTTGAAAATCCCAGGAGCTCCAGCATTTCAGTTTTGGACAGCCAGGTTCCAGTGCATCTTGCTCTCCACCAAGCAGTAATGTCCTATACCACAACACCAAAGTCAGCTTCTCCTTCAGAGCCCACAGGCACAAGAGGGTAAAGTAAGGACAGGGGAGTAGAATTTCTCTTCTTTAGAACACTAACTCAACTTACTCAACTAGTTCTGTAATTGAAATGTGTATAAATTGATGTATATAGCAATATGTCTTCACAACTTCCTTAGGACTTGTGCTTAACTGTCCCTTCTCTTTATTTGTTTCATTTCTTTCTAGATTCTAAGCTAAGCACTCTAGGAGTTGAGATGTGGGAATATAAACCGAAAATCATGAAGTAAACTGAAAGAAAGCTGACCCAACTTAGTGGGCAATCTTTCTGGATGCCTTTAGCAAAAGTTGTGATGCACTAGGACAAAGGCTCTATCTAAGTGTATAATTGCCTGTATTAGCAATTCAAAGTGTGCACCTATCCAAGTTACCATTTGGTTATGCTGATGGTTGGTGAACAGTTCTGCCTGCTACTTGAATGTAAACACTTAACAACTACCCTTGCTAGGGTCTTCCCTCCAGAACATCACCAAACTCCTTCCTGCTTTCACATCCTGAACCTGCGACTGGGAACTTTGTATCAATGCATGGGAATAACTGGGATTTTTAAGAGACCCTGGAAGTCAGGTGACCTAATATCACTGTAATTCAAAGGAATAAACATCTTCACGATCTTCTAAAAATCCTGCCTTATTTGAAAAGTATTATTGTAGGCAATTAAACTGTACCAGGCAAGTATTTTTTCCAGCACTTTGCCCCCCCCCCCGTTACCTTTTGTTCAATTTCTTCATAATCATCCTGGTAACTTCCACAGATTGCACTGGAGGACGAGGAGAAGGTGGGGCCCTGAGAGTAATACTGTGAGCTCCGGTAGCCATCCCGCCGCAGCTTGTCACACTCTGCCAAAAAGAAAGAGAGTCATTACTGTTTATGCTTGGTGTACAAAGCCACTTAAATATTGAATACTTTTCTGAAGATTTTTACCATGCTTTAGCATTGTCTGACCCAAGTAACAGAACCCAAAGGTGCATTTTTCATATTTGTATCTATATTTCCGCCTCCATCACATGTATTATATACGTAAGCCCACATGTAGCGTATTAACCCAGGCAATGGCAAGTGCTCTGGAAAAAAGGGGGAAATAGATTTATTTATTTAAGTGAGGCCTGGCTCAGTGTCTTGACAGATGGCAGCATCTTGCAGGATGGGAGATGGAAGCATGTGAGTAACACCAGGGGTCTCATTTGCCAGGCCGGTAGACATCTCTTATATGCCTTACACTTCAAATGATGTTGCTTGCTACTCAAGCACCATCTGCTAAATAACTTTGGCACTGACCACTTGCCTTCCTGTTCGTGGAAGCGACCACTTACTGTGACTTTGAAGAGAGGAACGCAAATTACAGGGATCTCAAAATCTCATGTTGCTGCACAGCACATATAGTTTAATACAAAGAGTTTCCAAAGTTCAGAATTAATTCAGAGCAAACATGCATCCCCATTCACAATAGCCAAAATCCCAGTCAGCATCTCATCTCCCTCACCAAGTTTTCCACAATCATCTTCCTGCCTCCTAATTGATATTCAGTGTGATTGTGCTAAAGAATAACAGACGCCAGAGCAGAAGGAAAAATTAAATGTTCAAGATGAGGCAACCAAATTCATCAGACCAGTCAAACTGTTAGCTTTACATTTCTAAAGACAGATACTAAAATCTGTTGAAAGATGAGGAATGCAAGAACAAAATTAAATATTTGGTATATTTCTGTCTAAGGAACGGAAATTTCTGCACAATACACTGGCATTATCACAACACAAAGCACTTTTAACATCTCTTGCTGGAGAAAGACTTTCTGTGATTATATCATCTGTCTGCTTATCTTGATCTTTTGAATATGCCTTAAAATGGAAAACATGCAATGCTTTTATGGTGGTCAAGGTTTTAGAGAGGCTTTTGCCTGGCAAATGGTTAAGTCGAGTTACAAGCTGCAACTCCAGTGTACACGTCCTCTTTTTTTGTTCAGATGCTTCTGAGACTGAGGTCTGGAGGACTCCATGCTGATGGGTTAACTGACCTACGGCAACCACAGCTCTACAAGGATTTAATCAGTGTGGACTCCCCTGTATTGCCCAGGCACACTGAGAAGGCAAGCTGACCATTTGACAACTGGCCATTTCCATCAGCACCAGACATACATCCTTGCCTGTGTATCAGGGGTCAAAAAGGGCAGTATGGTGTGAACCTGTCGCTTCTCTCTCAGTTCAAGGACCAAGGGTGGTGGTGCTGGGTTTTGAGATCCAAATCAATTGCTACATCTCAGGAACAGAGGGTTAGTAACCCTGTTTTTACCTTTTCCACATGTGCGAGCATGCTGACAACTGCGCATCTGACAAACTGCTGCTGTACTTCAGGAGGGTGAAAAATGACTGTCAGCAACCACAGTAAAACAAATTCCCCCACCACCCTTCCAAATCTGGTACTAGGTGCAGCCAGATCCAGCACATAACACTCACAGATGCGAGCACTCTGATGGGTTGCTTGCTGGTTTGAGCTACAAATTAACAGGGATATGTGGGCTGTGGCAGAATAAGACAGCCCAAAGACTTGTATCAACTTATAGCATGGGTTAACATGCTAAATTGTCAACTTAGACGCTGCAACTTCAGATCAGTCATTAATCACCACAAACAAACATGAATACAACCTAAGGGGTGTGTAAGGATGCGGTTACTTTTTCCTCTCATATTTGGGCTAAGGCTTAAAGTCCTGGCTGGCCACTCCTGTGACTTTCTCATATCAGGCATCATGGCATGCCCCAAAACCCATGGTGGTTTGACCTGGGCTAAATGCCAGGTGCCCACCAAAGCTGCTCTATCACTCTCTTCCTCTGGAGAGAGCTGGACAGGCAAGAGAAAATATAATGAAAGGCTCATGAGTTGAGATAAGGACAGGGAAAGATCACTCACCAGTTACAATCACAGGCAAAACAGACTTGACTTAGGGGAAGTAACTGAATTTATTACCAATCAAAATCAGAGAAGGATAATGAGAAGTAAAGCAAATCCTAAAAAACACGTTCCACCCACCTCTCCCTCCTTCCCAGGCTTAACCTTATTTCCGGTTCTCTACCTCCTCCCTGCTCAGCAATACAGGCAGATGGGGTATGGGGGTTATGGTCAGTTTATCACATATTACTGCTGCTGCTTCCTCCCCAGGGAGGACCAGCATGAGGTCCCTCCCACAGGAGACAATCCTCCAAGAACTATCCAATGTGAGTCCTTCCCAGAGGCTACAGTTCTTTAAGAACTGCTCCAGCAGGGGTCCCTTTCCACAGGGTTCAGTTATATAGGAACAGCCTGCTCCAGCATGGGTTCCCCATAGGGTCACCACACCTACCAGGAAACCTGCTCCTCTCTCCACAGGTCCATAGGTCCTGCTAGGAGCCTGCTCCACTGAAGGCTTCCCATGGAGTCACAGTTGTCACAAGACCCTTCTGGAGATGACAGGCTCTTCTGGAGCATAACAGATGTGTGTTCTGACACTAATTGTTTGACCTTATTTATTCTCCTAACCAAGGAGGTGAAGATGACAAATAGTGCACTTCATGAAGCCTAGAAGAGCTCCAAAAACTTAAAGAAATCAACACTGAAAGTCTCAAGTCGTCCACAAGTTCAAGAAGACTGACAACAACAACCTGGAAGCCTATCAAGCTTACAACCTCCATTTGTCCACACCACAAAATAACATCAGAAACTATTGCAGCAACATTGCTACAGCTACAAACCGCTAGGAGAACTACACCAACAAAAAGATTATTTGTCCCCAAGAACAGCTTTTCTATTTATGTACTGTCACTGTACATTTTGCAGCACAGCAGGAAACACACACTGTGGATAGCACCCAAGGCCAACAAACCTCATCAGAGGCTTTGGGTAGGTATCTTTTACTTCACATTGCAACAGCCCACAAGCACAACACAAGGTCAAACATTACATCTAACTGAAGCTACTGCTGCTGCCAAACTAGCTGAGTGGCAACTGCTGTTTAAAAACTGTTCTAGCTGGAGGCTCCCCTGCTCCATCTCATTACTATTACTAAAGGTGTACATGGTCTTCTCAAAGCAAACAGATACATATTTTCAGATAAAAGGTTTTTATTTTTGTAAAAAAATACCAATGAAGAAGCTAGAAATACTTACTCTAGGAAAGACTCCAGATATGTTCCCTTCTTCCCAGAGGAGCAGTAAATTGTTCTATTCTGATAATCCCAAACAGAGAAGAGTACTATACACTAAGCAAAAAAGTTCATACGCACATTATTTCAGATACATCTGTACTGAAGATGACTAGGTAACAGAAGGATCCATCCAGTTGCAGTTATTAAAAATCTCCAGTTTTAAGCATGTGACATTACATTCGTGCCATCTGAATCAGGGATATACGCAGTCTTGATTGCACTCAGCAGCAGGGCTGCCATTTCCCACATTATCCAACATACAGAACTATGCACAGCCTTTCCATATTTCTGTCAAAGAACTGCCAGGGCAAACCTCAGGCAACTGCATTGAGCAGGACACAAATACCTGCTCCTGCCAGATCAAATCTGCAGTATATGCTGCAGTCAAACTCAAAGTCATAATTTCGCATGAGTCTGATCTGAAATGTGCAATAATACGATTATGCCCCAGACGAACCAGTTTTATTCACACAAACACTGATTATTTTCCCAGGAAGATCAGAAAGTGTCTCTGTCTCAGCAATTTCAACTGGTGGGTATGCTGGGTAGTGCCACAGCTCCCCTTCATCCCCCAACTGTTTCTGGGGCTGAGTGTGAAGGGATGCTGCCTATCATCTGCTTCTCTGCAAGTGCTTTTCTGGCTAGCTAACACCACAGACTAGTTCTTGTTCTTCTATTCTAGTGGTACATTAAATTTCAAAGCCTCCTCTGTATTACAAGAGTTGCTTAAAAATTACTATAGTTATATTGTATTACATTATAATCTAATTTATTCCCACTTATGTGGTACAAGTTAAACCCTTCCCAGAATAGGAAATGTTGCCTAAAGTTGAATTTTGATGTTCACAGGGCAGTTTCCATTAAGCATGAAGAAAGTGTGTGGGAAATGCAGTCACAAACCTTTTAAAGGCTCCCTCATCATTTCCACAGTTATTAAAACAGGGTTCATGAGATGCAAAACCAAAGAAAATGTGTTAAAGCTGTCAGTGCCCAATACCATCATGTCCAAGTCTGCCATATACCCAACCACTCATGTGTTTGCTCAGGATTGCAGTACTGCAGCTTTTGTTAAATTTTGGCATCAGAGATAAGTGTGTTGGGGATGTGTGCTGTACATCACCTATCTCTGCTCTCTTCCCTCCTACTAAATATGCTGGAGAACAGGCAGATACCAGCAGCACTACACTGAGAGCAAGGGCTCAACTGAGACAGGTGCAATTCTCCACCAGAGTTTTGAGCCACAGGCACTGAATTCAGGGTTGTTGTGAATAACTCAACCATGTAAAAGCTTATGGACTTTGTGACAGTCAGGTCAAGTGTAGGAAAATACCTCTGACGTCTCTCAGCCCAGATCTCCTCTCTATTTCATACATACAACTTGCATGTGATTAAATCTGCCCCTGAGCCAGTAATACACAGTAGCAAGTCTCACACACAGAGGCAATTTACTGCGTTTCCAACAACTTGAAACCATATTCTTGCATGGTCATTTGAGTCATAAATTACAGGAATGAACAGAAGGCACAGCATTGATACCTCAGTAATTCGTCTGACATGGTATTACCATGGTAAAGCAGGATTAACATTTACCTTGTCAGACCTACACGCCGTACTATGCCGGGACAGATGGAAGGCTGGGTTTGCTGGGAGAGGACCGGATGCA